ACAACCCTTGTATACGGAAGGCCACAGGGCCGGAGTTTGCAGAGTTTTGTCAACACATCCCTGAGTCACCTCAGGACACCCCAACAATGACTGCTCTGACTGTGACAAGAGTCACATCCTTACAATGGGTCTATGAGGCCCGCGATCTGCCCTACCTGGTCATCTCTCTGGCCATGACTCTCTCTTGCTCCTCCACCCCCGCCCAGACCTAGGCTTCCTCACCCTTCCATAAATGCACCAGTAAGCTCTCACCTCAGGGATCTCGCACATACCGTTCCCCCCATAACACTCCTCCTGCTTCCACACCCACATAACCCACAGTCTCAAACTGCAAGCTGCTCCCACCTCCTCCCTGCTCTGTCCACCCTACAGCACGCATCAATACCTAACATACAAGGCCTTCCAAAAGTGCGTGGGGAAATCGACTTAAAGTTTATTTTAGGTCCCCCCCAGAATCTTGAAATCTATGCATAGCTTTCTCATCGTACTAGTATATTTACTTTCTCTTTTCTTCTTTTTTTTTTTTTAGAGAGTATTTTGCTAGAGGGTCATGTACTCACTGGAGAGACAGAGACAGAAAGCAAGAAATCACCCCCCAAGGGGTATGGCCACTCCACAGTCCCTTCTCCTTCAGTGTCCTCTCGGGATTTGGGGCATGCATGCACACACACCCAGTCCCGAGTATGGGACTCGAACCACAATTGACTATGTGGGAGTCCAGTGTCATAACCATGACGCCACCTGCTGGTCCCCATACCAGTAAATGATCTAGAATAGCAGAGGGTGAAAAGTGAGTCTATTTCTATCTGCATTGTTTACGGCTGGAAAATGGAAAAATGACCCAAGGTATAGTGTCAGGAAAATGTATATGGAAGTAAGAAGTGGCTTTTTTTTTTTTTTTGAGAGTTTTTTTTTTCTCTAGGGTGCCCCGGCTCGCCAGACAGGGGGGGAGAAAGCGAGAAATCACTGCCCAGGGGGGATGGCCATGCCGCAATCCCTTCTCCTCCGTTCTCCTCTTGGGATCTTGGGCACGCACGCACACGCACCCAGCATGAGTTTAAGCCACCGGGTCTGGGACACGAACCACGGTTGACAACATGGGAGTCCAGCGACATAGCCATTACGCTAACTGCTGGTCCCAGAAGTGGCCTTTAAGTGAACCTCACCAAAAGAAAAAAGGGCCTAGCAGTAAGACCATCTAAACTCATGGGATGCTTACGCTCCTGCTGGTCATGGTTGCAATGTTCCCAAAACAGGAAATGGTGGGGCCTGGCCCCATAGCGCAGTGGTTAAGCGCTCCGTGTGGGGAGCAGGACCCCACAGGGCTGACCACAATCTGAGTTCTGGCCCAGGTGGCTCAAAAGATATATACCAGGCACATCTGTGTGTGCCCCAAACCCCAGTGGGATGAGGAGATGGAAGAAAAAGGACTGCACATGACCACACCCAACTGAGGGGTTCTCTCTCTCTCTTGCACACACCCTCTGGCAATTTATAAAAAAAGAGGGGGATTCAGCAGGTGGCATAGTGGTTACATCACTAGACTCCCACATGGTTGACTGCGATTCAAGTCCTGGACCCAGAGGCTTGGAACTCATGCCAGGCACGTGTGCATGCATAGCCAAGATCCTGGGAGGAGAATGGAGGAGAAGGGATTGAAGCGTGGCCATCCTCCCCGGGAGGAGAAAGCTTGCTTTGTCTCTCTCTGTCTCTCTCTCTCTAGTCCTGGCGAACACATGCACCCCATAGCAAAAAACTCTCAAAAAAAAAAAAGGAAGTGGAGTAAGTAAGTCAGCTCCATGCCAGCCTGATGCCCTCCGGCCTGCTCCTCAGGGGTCACCTCTTCCGCCACCACTTCAGAGCATCCACGTAGGCTCCAGAAGCCACCAGGGAGGCCACACGAGTGTCCTCAGAGGATGCTGCTCCCGTCCATCCACCTCAAACCTGGGATCGATGTGGCTCCTGCACCCCCAGCCGATGAGCTGTCCTCAGAGAGAATGAAACCCGTCTGTGGAAGAAACCACGGAACACCTTGAGGGGATGAGGAACACAAATGTCAAAAGAAGCCAACCACAAAAGACCACAAATTGTGTGACTCCATTTATAGGAAGTATTCCTAAAAGACAAATTGATACAAACAGACTACAGACTGCCAGGACTGAGGGAGGGGGCTGGAAAGAAACTGGAAATGACTGCTAAAGGGAATGGGCTTCTTTCTTTTTCTCTTCTTTTCTTTTTCTTTTTCTTTTCTTTTTCTTTTTTACAGGGAGATTTTTGCTATAGGGCACGTGTGCTCACTGGAGAGACAGAGAGAGACAGAGAGACACAAAGCAAGAAATCACCCCCCAGGGGGGAAAACCACGCCGCCATCGCATCTCCTCTGCTCTCAGGATTTGGGCACGCACGCACACACGCCCAGCATGGTTTTTAAGCTGCCAGGTCCAGGACTCAAACCACGGTCAACTACGGAGGAGTCCAGTGATGTAACCTTTATGCCATCTGCTGGTTCCTCTTTTTTTCTTTTTTTGGTATAGGGTGCATCCACTCTCTGAAGAGAGACAGAGAGAGAGAGAGAGAAAGTGAGAGACCATCCCCCCAGGGGGATGGCCACACCGCAATCCCTTCTCCTCCATTCTCCTCTCGGGATTTTCAGCACACACACACATGCGCCATCATGTCTATCAGGACTTGAACCAATCAGCCACGTGGGACCCCACGCCTTAATAGCCACACCATGAGCTGGCTTGTTCTCACCTTTTTTAAGTTTTATTTTGTTTATTCATGACAGAGGGTGTGCATGATGAGAGAGAGGAGAGAAGCAGCCTCGGCGAGGTCTCATCGTACCGAGATCTCCCTTCCCAGCCCTGTAGCGTGTCAGGGTCCCAAACACCCACCAGAGCCCACTGGCTCAGCACGTTTTCGAGCCAACTGGGGGATTCAAACCCGTGTTGGCCGTGTGGCTTTCACAGCTGCCGTTCATCTTGCTACCCACTGCACCACCAAGCTGAGCCAGGTGTTGTGTTTCTTTTGGGGGTGATGAAAACGTTCTAAAATCGGGATGATTTTTTTAAGTTTTTGCCATAGGACACGTGTGTTCACTGGAGAGAGACCAAAAGAGAGAGAGAAAGAAAGGGAGAAATTAGCCATGCAGCAACCCCTTCTCCCCCATTCCCCTCTGAGGATGTTGGACATACACACACATAATGTATCCAATGTGGTTTTCAAGCCACCAAGTCTGGGACTCAAACCACAGAGCCAGCCATGTGGGAATCCGGCCGCCTTAACCTCTGCGCCACCTACTGGCCCATAACTGGGGGGATTTTGCACAACTCTGAATATACTGTAAAGCCCGCTGAATCATACACTTCAGGCAAAATGTGGTATGTGAATTCTATTTAAAAAAAAGAAGAAGAGGGGCTAGCAGGCGGCATGGTGGTTAAGGCACTGGACTTCCACATGGTTGACTATAGTTCGAATCCCAGACCTGGTAGCTTGCTTTCTCACTCTCCCTCTCCCTCTCTCTGGTCAAATCAAAGAAGAAGAAATAAAATTAAATAAATAATTCTTTACCACCACCACCACCCCCCCCCAAAAAAAAAAGAAAGAAAGAGAAATAAGGATGGAAGAAAGCAAAAGAAAAGAAGGAAGGAAGAAAAGTTGCCTTGGGTCTCAGTTTGGTTCTCTGATTCCTGTAAGAACTCCCAAGCGCTGCAATGTCTCTGGTAAGGCTGCACTCATTTCACAATAATTTTTAAAAGCCTTTCCTTAACACCTGAAATAGAACCTTTGATGTCCGTCCAAAGCCCTCCTGGGAATTCTTATCTATTAAAATAAAAAACAGAGGAATGAGTATTAAAAGCTTGGCTTTCTTGGCTAGCCAGGCACCCATGTTAATCTCCAAGGCTCCGTGTTACTATAGCAACAGAAAGCTTCCACTGAGAGCTTGTGGGGTGCATCAGAAGGGACTGCCAGCTGGACCACGGAGGCCCACAACCCGTCTGCCCAGCAGCCCACGGGCCCCGGCTGCATCAAACCAGGTGAAGCCGAGAAATTGGAGATGACAGAGCAGGCAGTGCGGCTCCTCTGGGTCCCACTCCAGCCGGGCCCAGTGGCCAACCTGAGTCACTGTCCCCACGTGGGACGAGGAGACAATGCTAGTCACACCTTTTAGAGTTTGTGATTAAAAACAGCATATTGGGACCAGCAGATGGCATAATGGTTACATTGCTGGACTCCCACAGAGTTCAAGTCCTAGACCCAGTGGCTAAAAACACACTGGGCACATATTCATGTGTGCCCAAAATCTTGAGAGGAGAATGGAGAAGAGATTGTGGTGTAGTCAGCCCCCCTGGAGGAGGGGGTGATGTCTCACTTTCCGTCTCTCTGTCTGTCTCTATCTCTCCTGCAAGCACACATGCCCTATAGCAAAAATCTTTCTTAAAAATAAAAAATAGCATATTGAGCACCTGACTGGGTCTCCACGCAACATGACCATATTTTTAGGCAGGAGTAGGCGGCCTCCCGGGACAGTGAAGAGAGTGCAGCTAAGAGCAGTCACTAAATAGCTAGAGGAAAGGCAGTCAGTGACTGGGCGTTCCCTGTTGTCATGGCTGAGTCTCACACCTGCAGACACTCTCTGTCTCAAGCCCCTGAAGACAGCCGTGGGAGGGCCACGAGCCAACCAGGTAGTGTGGTGGTTAAGGCACTGGACTCCCACATGGCTGATCACAGTTCGGGTCTTGGATCTGGTGGCTCGCTTTCTCATTCTCCTCTCTCTCTCTCTCTGTATGTGTGTCTGGTGGGCACATGTACCCTATAGCAAATTCAAAAATAATAATAATAAATAAAGTTAAATGAATAACTATTTTTAAAAGGCAGTCATAGGAAGCCCAGAAGCTTCTAAAGTTCAAGCAGAACTGTTGGGACCGAGGAAGGAAGGGGTGGGGTGTAAGGTAGGCAGCCTCCAAGAAGCCCCCCAATAACTCACCTCTTGATGAGCCTCATGAAGCCCCTCCCATGTCGCATCAAGGTGGACCCGTGTTGTGGCCAACGGAGCTCCGCAAAGGGGACAGCGTGGCTCCTGCAGCTAGAGCAGAGCCAACGTGGCACAGTTAGCACAGTCACAGGTCCGGGGACGGCAGTTACCACCACCAATAACGAGAAAAGTTGGAGAGGGATATGATGACTTCCTCTTATACCTAAGCCACAGGAGAGCCACAGCGGGTGGAGGAGCTACTGGTCTTAGCAGAACCCAGGTGTAGGTGTAGCTTTTAAAGCTCTCCAGGCAATTCTTTGAGAAACTCTACCCTAGAAAAACTTCCACAACGGTCCAAAATTCACACAAGAGGGGCCAGCAGGTAGCATAGTGGTAAGGCGCTGGATTCCCACGTGGTCAACCACAGTTTGAGTCCCAGACCTGGCAGCTTGAAACTGGGCACATGTGCGTGCATGCCCAAGATCCCAGAAGGAGAACGGAGAAGGGATTGTGGCATGACCACCCCCCTTAGAGGTGATTTCTCTCTGTCTCTCTAGTGAGCACACACACCCTGTAATGAAATCTCTGAAAAGAAATCACACAAGGATTTCGCTACAGTGTTTGTAATAGAGAAAGAACAGAAACCATGCAAATGCCCATTGGCCAGTGAGCTATTGGAAAATAAATTGCAAATGGAATACTATATAGCGGTGTAAAATTAATGAACTAGAACTACATGTGTCAGCATGAACATAAATCTCTAAAATATAATTTCTGAACCCCCCACAATGCAGGCAGATATATAGCATAAATATAAGGGGTAAGAACCTGCAGAACACCATTGTGTATTTAGGAATGCATACATACGGGTGAAAACAAATGGCCAGGCATGGGCCAATGGCATCAAATTAAAGAAGGTGCTTCTGTCTGGAAAGAAGACAAGGGAATGTGACAGGGAGGGGTTCCTGGGGCGTTGGTAGTAAGATGCTATTTCTTTTTTTTTTTTTAAGAACTATTTATTTAAATTTCATTTATTCATTCATTTATTTTAATTTGACGAGAGAGAGGCACAGAGAGAGAAAGTGAGAAAAGGCACCAGATCCAAGACTCGAACCTTAATCAGTCATGTGGGAGTGTCCAGTGCCTTAACCACCATGCCACCTGCTGGCCCCAAGATGCTATTTCTTAAACTGGGTAGCAGACACTTAGGGCCCCTTGAATTATCTACACCTCTTGGATTTCTGGAATATTTCATCATTTAAAATAGATGAGCACGGAAAAATATCTGGGATTGTGGATGGACAGCTTCTCTTCTTATTCGTGTGGGGTTGTCTGCAAAGGCTGACGCATTTTGCATAGAAAAACATAGAAAACTGCGTCATGACTTTTCTGACGACCCACTCTCAGCCCTGTAATGACACCTCGTGCTTCGTTCTTCTTTATTCATGACAGAGCACACACAGAGAGAGAGGTGAGCACCCTCCGCAGGATCTGAACACACCACAATCCCCCTCCTGCAGCCCTCCAGCATGGTCGGATCTTGGATGCCTGTGCGCATGCCTGGCGTGTTTCAGCCTGACTGGGCCAGGGATTGGAACCGCAGTCTCCATGTGGATCTGGCTTCTTTGAGTAAGGCATTACCACTGTGCCACAGAACCAACCCCCACCTGGCTTTTATGAAATAAAAGAATTCATTATTTAACAAGAAAAACAGTTACCTAGACTCTCGTTTGAAAGGAAGAGGAGTCACTTCTCTAAACGATCGACTGTAAAAGCAACACTTCCGCGCACATCTGGGTTCTAAAACGTTGATGAAAATCAACCTGACACGTATGACAGGAGAAGCCTCCAGAGACCAGAGCAGGCACCGTAAGCTCAGGAACACCCCCACGGGTGGCCTGTGTTTTAGTCCGTTGTGTCGGTAAGAACAGAAATACCAGCGTCTGGGTCATTGCGAGGAATAGAGGGTCATCCGGCTCATGGCTTGGGAGCTCCAAGTCGAGGGGCTACATCTGGTAGGGCCTTCAGGGCGGGGACTCGTCAGCGTCCCAGGGCATCCTGTGGCGAGAGGGCGAGGTGCATGTGGCTGTCTGCGTCCCCACGTCTGCTCCTCCCTCTCCTCATAAACCCACATGATTCAGCCATGGGCCCCCAACCTGATTATTCATTTACTTTATTTTAGAAGGTCTTGCCTTATAGCAGGTATGCTCACCAAAGAGCAACACAAAGACAGTGAAAGGGAAAGTGAAAAAAATCACCCCGAGATGGCCATGCTGTAATCCCTTCTCTTCCACTCTCTGGGAACTCAGGCATACGCGCACACATGCCCGGCGTGGGTTTTAAGCCGCCGGGTCCAGGACTCGAACCACAGTTGGCCATATGGGAGTCCAGTGACAAAACTGGTATGCCATCTGCTGGACCTCGGCCCTGGTTATTTTAATCTTAATCATCTCCCAAAGGTCTCACCTGTTAATCCCATAGTCAGGTTAAGCTTTCACCTTCTTAATCCCATCACAATCGAATTTCATCAGATACATTTTGGGAGACATATTTAAACCACAGCAGTCCCCAAAACCCAGTATCTTTAGGGTGCCTCATAAACTGCACCCCACCCCCACTGAGTATGTTTAACATGGAGGATTAATTGATATAGTCAAGAAAAATAGGTACAGGGAATAGTGTGTGTGTGTGTGGTGGGGGGGGGTCTCTTCTGTAGCTGCATTAAATGAGAAGGGAATAAAAACCAGGCAGACAGGCAGAGGCCAGGAACCTGTGAAGGAGCAAGAACAGCTATGGTGGGTTTTCTTTTTTAAAAAAAGAATTGTTTATTTCATTTTATTTACTACTGTTTTTTTAATTTGACCAGAGAGAGACAAAGAGAGAAAAAGGGAAAGTGAGAAAGCAAGCCGCAGGTCCGGAACTCAGACCACAGTCAGACATGTAGGCGTCCAGTGCCCTTAACCACTATGCCACCTGCCCGCCCTGGGTTTTCTTTTTAATGAAATTGAGTCATTGTGGAGCCAACGCAATGCAATACAGTCTCCAGTTGGGGAGTTGTGTTTTTCCTAAGCAATTGCACCTGACTCTACCAGCAAGCAGTGCTTGACTGCTGCTTCTTAAAGATGCAGAAGGGTGTTTTGCTTTGTTTTGTTTTGTTTTGCATAATGGAACACATTTCCCATGCAGCCACTTTCTGGACTCTTTGTCATGTGTCAAGGTAGGCTTTTAGAAAACTCTTCCATAGGCCATGGGGAGGCCATTTCCACCTAATACAGACTGCTTAAGATGGAGAAAGCCAACTTTTCAATATCACTTCAGGGACCATACTTTGTGCATTCAACACAGTTGAATGCAGACGAAGTAGAGAAAGAAAATTGAGTGTAATCTCCTGACAAGGGGATTGAATGAGAGAAGTGATGCCGGGTGAATTACTGCCCCCTGGTGTTCACAAACAGTATTGGCTCTTTTGCCAACAGCATTTGTAGTGTTTCTTCCAGCCTACCTGCCACCTTGCCCCGCCCGTTTTAAAAGCCTAAAAACAAGGATTACAATCTGGCACCACGCCTCTGCAGCCAACAGGCAGACATGCCAACTGTTTAGAACCCTGGAGATTTTGCTTAAAAATCTAGAGCTGACATTTCTTTAAAAAAAAAAAAAGTCTTGGAACCAGAAATGGCATAATGGTTACGTCACTAGACTACCACGAAATCGACCACAGTTCGACTTAAAACTCACACCAGGTGCTCGTGCATGCGTGCCCAAAATCCCTAGAGAATGGAGAAGTGATTGCGGTGTGGCTATTGCCCCTAGTGGGAGCGGGGGGGATTTTTCACTTTCTGTCTCTGTCTCAGTTTGTCTCTTTTCTTTTTTTTTTTTTGAGAGATTTTTTCACTGTAGGGCGCGTGCGCTCGCCAGACAGACAGAGAGAGACATACAGACAGTGAGCAAGAAATCACCCCCCAGGGGGATGGTCACACCGCAATCCCTTCTCCTCCATTCTCCTCTCGGGATCTTGGGCACGCACGCACACGCGCCCGGCGTGAGTTTTAAGCCACCGGGTCCGGGACATGAACCGCGGTTGACTACGTGGGAGTCCAGCGACATAGCCATTACGCTAACTGCTGGTTCCCTCATTCTGTCTCTTCAGTGAGTGCATGTGCCCTATAGCAAAAATCTCTCTTAAAAAAATAAAATAAAAAACCTGTCAACTTGTGCATTGCATCCCAGCATAATAAATGTGGGGTAGAGAAGAGAAACTGCTGCCACTTTGGACAAGTCGTGATCTCTCTAAATCACCACACTCCCCACCTGCTCTTATTGTCTCATACCCAGGAAGTTGTAGGTCTTAGAGGTTCCTGGGTAACTTCTGGGTTTGCTACCTATGTCCTAAGCTCATGAAAAGGCTACACTGGTGAGACAAGCAGATGCCATGATTGTCACTGGACCCCCACATTCGAGTCCCAGATCTGTTGTCTTAAGACTCACTCCAGGCATGTATGCACGCATGCCCAAAACCCCAAGAGGAAAATGGAGAAAGGATTGTGACGTGGCCATTTTCCCGGGATGTGATGTCTCTGGGGGTGATTTCTCGCTTTCTGTCTCTCTGTCTCTCCACCAAGTGCATGTGCCTTATAGCAAAAATTCTAATACATAAAGGTAAATGATTACATCATTTTATACCTGGTGTGGGCAGAGGTCCACAAGCCCCATGACTCCCAGCTCGGTGAGGGTGAGTGACTTGCTCAAGGTCACCCAGCTCGTAAGTGGTGGACCTTGTATTTACGCAGGTCTATCTGACCCCAAGCCTTGCTGCTTTATACTACACTAGCACTGGTCTTCCTTAAGCTGGTGGCATAGGAGCAAGCCCTTTTTGGGGGAAGGTTTTCACAAGGACATCATGACTTAGGCCATCAGAAATGAAATTCAGAGACTATCAAGAGAATGTTTAAGAGCTTCGAGAATGTTCGAGGTCTATCAACAAATAAAGAATAAAAAAATAAAAAGATCTTGCTCAAAAGAATAAAAACAGGACCAGCTCCATAGTGCAGTGGTCAAGCACTGTGCATGGAGCTGAATCCCACATGGCTAACGGCAGTGTGAATCCTGGCCCCTACATTTCGAAATGCACACCAGGCACGTATGCGGGCATGCCCCACATCCCGACAGGATGGAGAAATGAAGACGGGATTGCGGTGAGACCTGCCCCGTTGAGGAAGGTTCCTGGGTCGCACTCTGTCGAGCACACACGCCCTCTGGCAGTTAAAATTAAAACGTTAAAAACAAGAAGCCACCAACATACCCACTGCCCTGGTTTTGTTTCTTAAAAACACTATAGTTTGTCCTTCCTGAGTTCTTTCCTATTCGATTGAAGTCAACAAAATGTGTTAGGGCCCTAAAGGCCAAGGGCTGAGAAACTGAGGAAAATGGAGGCCAGTTTCAAAACATAAACAGGGTGCCCCTAGGCCAGGGTTGAAGCTAGTGCATCCCCCGCCTCACAATGGCCCCACAGTGTCCTGCACGCAGCATGTCATCAGTGCCTATGCTGGCCTAGGCCTGGACACTTCATTTCGTGTGGCAGGGCAGTGGCATCCCTAGACTAGGATCACATTGAGACCTACGTAAGGCGCCGTGGGGTCTCCACCCAGTGGCTGGAGCAACCTGTAGCTCTGGGTCTTCTGTGTTAACAAATAAAACAGCAATGACTGGGTGTCTTTTCTACAAATAATCACAACAGCTGGTACTTATTAGCTGTGTGCTCCGTGCCAGCTGGCTAGGATCCCACTTCAACCGCATAGGAAACCCCGTGAAGGGGTACTGTCACCCCATCACACCCAGTTTACAGAATAGCACAGAGGACATCCACAAGATCAAGTTCACTTGCTGAAGTAATTCAGTCTGCTGGTGGCAGAGCTGGGATTTGACCCCAGGGCTGTGTGGTTCCACCAATGACACCCACAACCACCACCACCTGCACTGCCTGGGTGTGTCAGGAAGAAGGTCAGATCTTGAAGTGTCAAGCCCCTCTGCAAACCCTGAACTTGAGGACAGAAGCAGGGCATGCTGTCTGTCCACATTGCATAGACAGAAACACTGAGGCTCTGAGGAACTTGCTCAAGGACATACAGAGTAAATGCAAAGTCTGGATGTCTGTCTCTGACTCCAGAATCTGCATTGCTACATTTTAGCGTTTAGCGTTTTGGGGGCACATCTCTAAATGTGTAATTTCAGTACTTGTGAATGAAGATGGAGCTTTCAGTTCCCTGCTTCAAGGAGAAGTCTTCAATCTCTCTGGAAAACCAACGCAAGCAGCCAGGCCCTTTTCGACAGGATGCTAATAAAAAGTCAGGGAGGGGAAGGGACAGAGAGAGTTACAGAAAGAGAAAAGGCGGCAGTGAGCCCGGCAGCATGGAACCCAGGCTGTTAACGAGGGACCCTAACCGGGTGGAAGGGCGAAACCATCAGCCACGTCTTCTATGCCTGAGGATACTGAAGCACACGAGAGCGGGCGGAACGAGGAGAGCTGGAGGAAGGACAGCCGGTCTGGGTGGGTGGAATTGCGAGTGTCCGGGCCCAACGCCAGCGCGCCCTAAACCTGCCTCCCCGCCCAGTTTTCGGCACCTGCTCCTCCTGCCCGCCGCCTATGTCCCGCCCCTTCTGATGCTTATTGGTTGCTGCGCGCACGAGACCAATACAAGACACAGCCAATGGGAGTGGCCCACGGCGCGTCTTTCCCGGGGAAGCCGACGCGGACGCGGGAACCCGGAAATGCAAGAGACGGACAAGAAGGGACAGCCAATCCGCCACGACGAGGGGGGCCGTCCGCCCAATGGAGACTCACCGAGGGCGGGGCCAGGAGGCCAGCGGCGACGGTGGCAGTGGTGGAGGTCCTGAGAGCCGGCAACCGCGGAGAAGGCAGCGGGAGGGCCCGGCGGCTGCGCGCGGTGAGGAGGGACCCAGCCCGTGTGGCTCGAAAAGAACGAGCCGGGGAGGGGGCGGCGAGGCCGCGAGCCCTGGGCGGGGTTCGGAAAGGGGCGGCTCCGTAAAGTGACCTTAGATCAGTCCCTTCGCCTCTGGGGCCTCAGTTTCCCTCTTTCTGGGGAAACGATGAGAGATCTGACACTCCTGGAACGCACTTACCCCTGGCACCGGCGGACGCGCCCTGTCCCTCGGGAAGGCCGTCCAGGCCACCTGGGCGAAGCAGTCACACACCCTGGGGTCCGCACGGCGCCCCCCGCCGTTTCCGAAGCCGTTTTCTGTGGTCAGGAGCTGCCCTGAGCGGTGCACAGGCCCTGCTCAGTGATAAGGTGGCGCTGAGGACCTGGGGACGCTTGACGCAGGCGCACCGGTTTTTTTTTGCTGCCTCTGTTTACCCAGGTGACCTTTGTGGGATGTAACTTTCCCTCTCTGTGTTTGGTTTCCCTGACCTGGAGAGTGGAGTTGGGGTAGCTCTTCCTTCACAAGGTATCCTGAGGATTAAATGAGAGAGTGCACGGCCAGCCTTAGGCCCAGTGCTCAGTCCACACCCCAGTTGCCCAATAAATGCTTATTGTTAACAGGATGGCGCCCGCATACATGGCCCCTTCACTCCCACTGCCAGGACTAAGCACATGCCCCTCATAACTGAGGCAGAGTGGCCACCAGCTGTGGCCCACAGTCGGGGCTCAGGGTTCCTTTTGCACTGTGGGACCGATAACTGAGGCAGAGCGGCCACCAGCTGTGGTCCACAGTTGGGGCTCAGGGTTCCTTTTGCACTGTGGGACCTTCTTGGTGAGATCCCTCCAGGACCACCCAAGGAAGGGAGAGGGGAGCCACATTGTGGCTGAATATCAAGGTGAGAAGTGGGAAGGGGAGGCCACCAAACCATCGTGCTTGCCAAAGACAGCCAGCATAACCACCTTGGCCATTGTGGGTGCACGTGTTATTTACATCCCAAACACCGTTTTTAGGGGTGAAGGGGAGACACTAGAGCTAAGGGCTTCCTAGGTTCAAGTCCTAAGGCTGTCAGCTGCTCTTTGACTTTGGGCAAAAACTTCACCTCTCTGAGCAGTTTCCTGAGAGTGAGGTGATAATGAGAACATCAGCTCCTTGGGGCTGCTGTTGGAGTCTGTGGATAACTTGAGGGGCTTAGTATTTAGCCCCCCAGGGCCTGGGACCAAGTGGTGCCCAAACCGTGTCACGGTTACTCTTTAGGCACAGTGCAGGTGGCACCAGTCCTCTAGGCCGGCCCTGCCCCAGGTAGATGCGCTCTGTACCATCACCGCCCCCTGGTCTCTACTGAAATAAGTGCAGAGATCTTTGACTCCTCTCTGCAGCCGAAGTCACACTGCGTCCCCAGCACGGCCATTCCCCGCCTCATCACCTGCGACTCTTCATTGCTTGTAGATCCTGCCCTGGGAGACTCGGACATGTGCGAGGGGCCCACCCCTGAGTCCAGATGATGTTCGCGCCGATGGCTTCGGTGATGGCAGTGACTGAACCCAAATGGGCCTCTGTGTGGGGCCGCTTCCTGTGGGTGACGCTGCTGAGCATGGTGCTGGGGTCCCTGCTGGCCCTGCTGCTGCCGCTGGGGGCCGTGGAAGAGCACTGTCTGGCCGTGCTCAAGGGCTTCTACCTGTTTAGGAGCAAATGGGACAGGGCGCAGCAAGCCGTCACCAAATGCACCAGCCGGTCCACGGAGCTCAGTGTCACCTCCAGGGACACAGCGCAGCTGGTGGTCAAGACCAAGGCCTCTCCAGGTAAGAGCCGGCCATCTCGGCACTTGTCCAGGGGCTAACATTTTGCGAGTGCCTGCTGTGTCTGTCCCATGGCAGGGCACAGGGGTGTGTGGTGGTGCCCCAGTCAGTGCTGAGCTCCCAGCCCATGAAGCTGACAGAGCAGACGTGCCACAGGTGTGACAGGGAACCACAAAGGGCTGTAGGAGCACACCAGGAAGGCCCCCTGGAGGAGGTGATGCTGAGTTGAGACCAGATTATAAGTAGGAGTGGTCCAAGAAAGGCTTGAGAAGAGTGATCCAGAGGGTAGAAGAGCCTGCGGGCATTCGTGGAGTTGAAAGGAGTGTGTGTGTGGTGACATGTGGATGGTCCAGACAGGCCTGGGAAGGTCTCTGCTGTGGAGCGGTCTTGCCCACTGCTGGATGTTAACCGGCATCCCAGGGCTCTGCCTACTATTAATAGATGCCAGTAGCAACCCCAGCCCCAGTCGTGACAACTGAACATCTGCAGGTATTGCCAGGGGTCCCCTGGGGGCAAAATCACACCTCTGGGTTAAAAGAGCAAGCAACAGTCAGGGACTAGCAAGAGTGGGAAGTTAACACCCCTAGCCTGAGGGAGTGAACTGGAGAAGTGGGAGAGGCCATGAGCACAGAGGAAGACAGCACTCCCAGTGGCAACAAGGCTCAAGAGCCCCCAAGGGAGCAAATGCCTGGGCCCTCCTTGGCTGGTTAGAAGGCAGATGGGCCCCCCCAGGGTACAGAGAACTGCGAGGACCCAGGGACAGGGACCAGCACACCACCCTAGGGTGTAGGAGTAGAGTGGGACTGAGCACTTTGAGGAGGCTGGGACCCAGGCTGGTCAGTGTGGCTTCCCTGCGCAGCCCGTGTGGGGACAGCCCCCCGGGCGTCCTCTGCCACCCGCTGCCCCTCCCTGACGGTGCTGCTTTGGCTCTCCAGCAGGTAAGTTGGAGGCCAGAGCAGCCCTGAACCAGGCCCTGGAGATGAAGCGGCTGGGTAAGCGGGAGAAAGCCCACAAGCTCTTCCTGCACGCCCTCAAGATGGACCCGGACTTCGTGGACGCACTCACCGAGTTCGGCATCTTCTCGGAAGAGGACAAGGACATCATCCAGGCAGATTACTTGTACACCAGAGCGCTGACCATCTCGCCTTACCACGAGAAGGCGCTGGTCAGCCGGGACCGGACGCTGCCGCTGGTGGAGGAGATCGACCAGCGCTATTTCAGCATCATCGACAGCAAAGTGAAGAAGGTCCTGTCCATCCCCAAGGGGAACTCGGCACTGCGCAGGGTCATGGAGGAGACCTACTACCACCACATCTACCACACGGTGGCCATCGAGGGCAACACCCTCACCCTCTCGGAGATCAGGCACATCCTCGAGACCCGCTATGCCGTGCCGGGGAAAAGCCTGGAGGAGCAGAACGAGGTCATCGGCATGCACGCGGCCATGAAATACATCAACACCACCCTGGTCTCCCGCATAGGCTCCGTCACCATCAGTGACGTGCTGGAGATCCACAGGCGGGTACTGGGCTACGTGGATCCAGTGGAAGCTGGCAGGTTTCGGACGACACAGGTCCTGGTGGGCCACTATATCCCTCCACACCCGCAGGATGTGGAGAAGCAGATGCAGGAGTTCATACAGTGGCTCAACTCCGAGGATGCCATGAACCTGCACCCGGTTGAGTTTGCAGCCCTAGCCCATTATAAACTCGTTTACATACACCCTTTCATTGACGGCAACGGGAGGACCTCCCGCCTGCTGATGAACCTCATCCTCATGCAGGCAGGCTATCCCCCCATCACCATCCGCAAGGAGCAGAGATCCGAGTACTACCACGCGCTGGAAGTTGCCAACGAAGGCGACGTGAGGCCTTTCATCCGTTTCATTGCCAAGTGTACTGAGACCACCCTGGACACCCTACTTTTTGCCACAACTGAGTACGCGGTGGCACTGCCAGAAGCCAAACCGAACCACTCTGGATTCAAGGAGACACTTCCTGTGAAGCCCTAACCTTGTAAATTCTACCTTGGTGACAAGGGACAGCTGAAGGGGGGGACAGGAATCAAATTTAACATTTCTAGAAACAGTCATATCCCAGAGCAAAGGGAGACTTTAAGCATTCTTTACCTCCAAAGAAATTTTTTTTAGTTAAAACTAAATTATTAAGCCTTGTCTCTAAGATAATTTATAGTTCAGCCAAGTTATTTATTTTCTTTTGAACAAGTTAGTTCATATGGCGTGGTGTCTGCTGTGTCTGTGCTGGTGGCCACTGTTTGGGTGGTCTCAGCAAGCTTTAGGGACAGCAGTGCACCTGTGACCAGAACATGAGTTCTGGAGCAGAATTTGCACTAAGGGCAGGGACAGAGGCCAGGAGCTGGAGGTGAGGTCCAGAGGCCTAAGAATGACTCCTCTAAATCTTTCTCTGAAGCTGGCCAAGAGGTTCTGCGACTTTAGCTGGGGAGTGTGCACTCCCGGGAAGAACCCTGTCTGTCTGCCTTTGAGAAATGACCGGGAAACAAGCTGTCCTAGAGGTTTCTGTGCTCTACAAGGTCACTGCGATGACTGACCTTCACTGGGAGGGCCACCTTCTGAGATATGAAAAGGATACTGACATTTCAAGGTAGACACCTCATTTATTTCCAGAAAGATTCCTCGAGCCATAGTTACTTTGCAAACTTTAGATGCCAGAGGCTATTTTCCCATATCGAGACTATTTTTCTAATTGAGTGTGGGGGGTGGCCGGCTTGGTTTTCTTAGTATAGGGACGTTTCTCTTAAACTTCATTTGCAGCCATTCAGACCAGATGTTTCTTAAAAAGTCCTCTGGGTTTGTCAGCCAACAGCTGCATGGTACTGCACACTGGGTATTAAGTTAGCGGGCAAGCCTGTCTTCAGCACAGTTCCTCCTTTCCAACTTTTCTGTAGGTAGATGTGAAAGAACATAGCTGAGAAAACATGCCACATTAACACCAAGCAGGCACTTCCGACAATGAATTAGAGCACCAGTTTATACGGAACCAAGCAAAAAGCTTTGACCACAAACAGTGTATCCCTTCTATGGTGTAGTTTTATCCACTTTACAGCACAGACACCCCCCACCTCCCACAGCCATTACACTGTGCAGCACCCCGACAGGGAGGCAGAAGAGATGGCCTCAAAGCGGCCTTATTTTCCTAACGACCTATAAAGTGGAATGTGTGACATGGCCAGCTTGCCTGTTGTCATCTTATGGAAGTAGAAGGAATCTCCTCTTCCAATCCTAAGTGGCTATTTAGACAGAGTGGCTGGAAATCCCCGGGTTCCTTTCCCAGGGAAGTAGCCCAGGTATCTAGAACGGTCTTGCCCTCTGTCAGTGTGTGGAGGACAGTGAATCTACACAGTGTTGTCTGTCTGAGGATTCAGTTCCAGATAGTAATGAGGACACAACTATAATGTAGCAGGTGGGTTTTTTTAGTTACTTGGTTGTAATAAAGAGCACAGAGTCATTTTCTACAAAGAAAAATAATTGAAAAAATGTCCGGAATGGCTCCAACTCAGTTACTCGAACCTTTGTAGAAATGTTTGCATACCTTTACGCTGCAGTGAGGTATTTCTTAAACCTTAACTCTTGTCTTGGTTTTCTAAACACAGCAGGGAAGTCTGACCGAAGACTTGCTTTGTAATGACAGACTGCACTTTAGCTATACATGAAGGATATTATTTTAACAAATGACTGATTCTAATAAAGTATTTTATTACATAAACATCTGAGACTTTGCTGTCTTTATTCAAGAGTGGTTCCCCCCTGCCCTAAAGGATGAAGGGAGTATACTGAACTTTCACCCTGTTCTTCACATTGTTCTGGGAGAACAGATCCAAGATGACATTTCAACAGGCAAACAAGACAGAACTAGCTGGATAAACTGCCTGCCTGGGCAGACGGGTGAATTACTGCTTTTTTTCTAAACTCAAATAACTAGCTGCTCATTACTTACCATCATTTCTTGCTTTTCCTAGAGAAAGCACATAAACCCAAATGATCCTGGAAATCGGCTTTTAGGCTAGTCGACACCCTGAAGTGAGAGTGGGTTTGGGTTCAAGTCTGAAAAGGCTCATCTCTGCACTGATATTCGAGAGTATGAAATAAGGTCAGAGTCCTGGCCAGCAGCAAGAGAACTAAACCATTCTGTGAAGCAGCAAAAAGTAAAGCCACCTTAACCTGACGTGACAGAAATTTTCATGGCTGTTCAAGGGCCAGGCCCCAGACCAGCAGGGCCCCCTCTGAGCTCACCACCTACTGACTGGGCTTCCAAGCAGCCAGCAGAGAATTCAACAAGACCTGGTGTCACAGCAAAGGTTCTTACTGCTGCCAAGAGCTGCTGCTTGAATGACTTCAGAGATTATGCCTAGTTAAACAAAAAAAAGTTTGTGTTAAAAAGACAAAGACAGGTGGTGTGGAATATACAGCTTAAGACTTGAGAAACTTAACAAGAGGGCCTGCAGGTGACATGGTGGTTAAGATGCTGGACTCCCATGTGGCCAACCTGCGGTTCAAGCCCCACACCTGGTGACTTGCTTTCTAGCTTTCCCTCTGTCTGTCTCTGGTCAAATTTAGTAATAAAATTTAATATTTCTTTTAAAAAGAAACTTAACAAGTGATAACTTAAGGGAGAACTGATTTATTAGACTTGAAATTTAACAGGACAGCTGATAACATTAAGGTATCACTGCCAATGTGTCTAGGGGTGATAAAACCACGGCCTTCAAGTCCTCACCTCTTAAGAGCTACAAGCTACACTACCACTGGATGAGAGTATGAGGTCTGGGACGTGCCTCTGTATGACAAAGAGGGAAAAGAGGTGAGTGGGAAGAAACGAAGTAAGCTGGGCTGCAAGTTGAGGAATGCTGAAAGCTCCGTGACAGGCACATGGGAGTTTATTTTACTGTTCTACTTTTCTATGTTGAAAATTTTCCATTAAAAAAAAAATATTTAAAAAAAAAAAGTAGAAAAAACCTGATTGATGCAGAAACACTTAAACTTACGAAACAGATACAGGAGGAGCTGAGTTCCACTACACATGAAAGGATTCCCTGATGTTCTCCGGAGTACCTTCGTAAAGTAAGTTTCCCCTCCTGGGTCAGCAATGCTGCTTTCAGAGCAATAAATATTTGATCAAAAGTGAGAGATGAAAAAGCTTAAAAGCTAAAGCATCATACTGCTGTAAACTAAGTCTAAAATTGAAGACAAACCACAGCTGAAATAATTTAAATCAAAGTGACAGTAGGATTTGACTTACAAAAGTTCTATTTACACATCTATTGAGTAAGCAAGGTACACCACTTCAAAATACAGCCAAATGTGAATCCATATCCGAGGACCATTCGCAAGAAGTTAAGAAAACTTCGGTTTAATAAACAAAGCTAAATGGGGAGAATTTAAGTTTGCACTTGAAGCAGTATTTAAACAAAACCAAAGGAATGAAACGCAGTGTTTAGACAAAGAACACAGTTCACTCATCGCTGGGCAAAGAAAATGGCTCACAGCAGGTGGCACACAGGATTCTCATACAGAACAAATGCTGCAAATATTTTGCTTTTAGGAAACATATAACAACAGCTTGAAGTGTCATTTACAAATACATAATATAAAAACGCAGAGCCCCTTGAACAAAAATCCATCAAATTTTTTTATGTGACTTCCCCTATCCCCCCCTTTTACTAAAATAGGCCATTCTGGTGAATTACTAGCATCTGCCATTTCATCTTTTAAAAATTAAAAGAGTGATGGGCACATGTGCTGTGCAGGGTGTAAGAGAAGTGTCATATTATAAAAAGGGCCCAGAGCTGGCCAAAGACAAGTGGATCTCAAAAACTGTTGTGGTTTCACTTCTGTCCCTCACTCTTTATGACACAAAAGCATCTTGGGACCCTGCACCCTGGGCCCAGCATGTAGAGTGATCATTTTTGTCATATTGCCCTCAATATGAGGGAGCACTTGAGCCTCCTGACCTGAAACACCCTTTACCCTCCACCTGAGCCAGAGCTAAGTCTGTGTAGGAATGGGCACCGCACCGGCCCTTGACACCCAGTGTCCCGCTGGGTGGTGGGCGGTCTGCCTGGCCAGCAAGAAGTAGGGCATTTCCCATCTCTCGGAGTCCTGTTCACTTTCTCAGAAGCAGCTTGGCGAAGTCGGCATTAGACATCTTGGGCGCCTCAGCGGCTGCGGTGGTAGGGCCCACTGGGCCTGAGGCAGGGCCATTCTCGGCCTGAGTAGCTGGGGCACTTGGACGCTGCAGGGCCCGTGGCAGGAGAGCGAGCTGGGTCCTTCCCTTGCCCCGCCTGGAAGAGTAAACACTGAATGGACCCTTCTGAAGCAACCATTTCTGCCTGATCTGATTGAACAAGTAAGCCAAAGGAGTTCTTGATTTCTCAAAGTGGAAAGACGAAAAATAAAAAACTCCCCATCTGCTTAATTCTGGCTTTTACATAAGAACCACTTCAGCAAACTGCCCTATCCACAGTTTTGGCCAATACAATAGTCACGCTTCGAGTGGATAAAAATGGCTGTCACCTTTCAGCCCTAACCAAATCTTTGGCCATTTTGCTGCCTCTCCCTGAGGCAAAAAGCACAACTTCTATGTAGGCACACTGTAGCTAGAGCTGCAGAATGCCAAGAGTGGCTTACCAGATTTTCTTTTAAACACACAGACTCAGCTGGCAAAGGGGGCATTAATTGTTGCCCTGAACTTTTTTTTTTTTTTTTTTTTAACTTTACAGAAATGACTACTGTAAACTGGCGAGTCCCAAAAGGGGTCCTACCCTGTTTCCTGGGCTTGCTCTGGACCCCTTGGTCCAGCAGAACCATAGTGACCACAACAACCAGCAGGCCCTGGCATTGCCATCCTAACCCCTGAACTGCCAAGAAGCTAATTCATCCCTGGCTCCCCGGTCATAGACCATGTCCTAGTGCCGGCCAGGACAAGGCCTGGACTAGGCTGGCAGGCAAACACTTACGCGCCATATATCTGCCGTGGCACCATAGGGCCCCCTGGTGCTTTCCTCGCCTCCGGCTTCTCTGGAACTTTCCTCTGAGGGGGATTGCTGATTGCTACTTTGATGACGTTCTCTTTGATAGTCATGCCATCCATCTTCATGACAGCCTGCGACGCCTGGGATTCATTTTCGTACTCCACATAGGCCAACCCCTTGAAGAGGCAAAGTCCAGGTGAGATGCCAGAGGCCCAGGGTGCACCTCCCACACACAAGTACACAGGCAGCCTGACTTCCTTCCAAAAACCCACAGACCAGTTCAGAGCAGGCACCCCTGCACAGGCCACCTTCCCCACCCTACCCTTCCTCCCTGGAGCCCCGTGAGCTCGCCTGCCCCTGCCCCCTCAGCCTCGCTATTTCTTACTGCAACTCTGTTAACCTGAACAGGAGGGCAGGGTTCGAGAAGCAATACAAAGCCACACTGAGACTAATGCTACTCGGGCTGTGGTGCAGGGGTTTGCCAGGAAATGGGGAGGGGGCCCCTAAAGGAGAGAACAGTTAAGGACGAGTGTGGTGGATGGACCCGAGGACTGGCTGGAGGATCACTGCCAAGAGGAGTCTGGAATTGCAGAAGGTGGCTGCAGAGGAGGGCACTCGCCCAATGCCCCACGTATATCTGGCCACAATGCTGCTCCTGGGCCCAAGAGAAAGGGGTCCACTGTGGCCCCAGTGGTTCCCGAGCATTTCTTTTTCAAACATCTTGCTCTTTTTCAGTGTGTCAGTTACAAACAGGTTAACTGGCCTCCAGGAAGAAGCAGAGCTGCTGAGCCCCATTTCTGAGCAGGTGCACGAGGAAGCACTGCAGAACAGAACCATCTCTGAGCAGATGTAGACACGTGGCCTGCTGGGCTCAAAGCCCCCGGCTCCAGCACTGACCTTGGGTTTGCCAGCCCGGTTGGTGACCAGCCTGAGGTCTTTCACAGTACCGTGAGCCTTGCAGATCTCTTCCAGCTCCTCTCTGGTGCAGGAGAAAGGCAGCCCCGAGATGAACAGCTTATGTTTCTCCAGGGCAGTGCTGTACCTGAACACCTATGGGAAGAAAGGCAGGAGGAGACCCACAGTCAAGGTCCGGCCTGGCACCATAATCCAGCTGGTGGGAGCCCATTCATGGGACCACAGCCACTGTGTGGACCAGGGCCGAGCCTGGGCTGTAGGACTTATCACTGGGCTCCAGGGGCAAGACGGTTCACCTCACTAGGCCAACACTGTCTCCTGAAAATACCAAGGATCAAAGCTGCCACTGGCAGAGCTGGAAGGGGACACAGTGAGGTAACATATGTGAGTTAGCATACTCTCGTGTCACTACTAAGCATGCAACAGGAAGCAGCCTTTACTCTAACTCATGGAGTATCATTACTCAGTCAACTGATGCAGGCTTAGAGAGACCCAGCCCTGAGTCAGGCCCCAGTTCACATGGACATTTAGTTCCTGACAGAGTATAAAAAAGTCTAAGTACTGGAGGTGGCAGGTGGCATGGTGGTTAAAGGCACTGGACACCCACATGGCCAACTGCAGTTCAAATCCTGGACCTGGTGGCTTGCTTTCTCTCCACCACCGCCCCCCCCTCCCCCCGTCTGTCTCCAATCCAATTAAAATAACGAAAGTTAAAGTAATTTTTAAAATTCTAAGTGTCAGTACTGCAGGAAAAAGTTGTTTGGTCTGTCTAAAGCAATTGCATGTGAAAAGCATTATTTTTTCCATGAACATACCTTAAAATCGGGGTTTTTGCTCTTATCCACGCAGGGCGAAACAAACATTGGCCTCCCTTCCACATTCTTCCTATCCAACTCCAGTGCCTGAAGGGCTGCTTTCTCTTCTTTAAACTCCACATAGCAGTAGCCACGGAAATCGCCCCGGTTGCTGAAGATGGGGCGGATCTCCACCACTTCCCCACAGGCCTCAAAGAGCGGCCTGAGAGTGGCGTCCGGTTCCGCCATGCTGTAGGGCAGGTTGCTCACGAAGACGGTGATGCTGTCCTTGCTGCTGTCGTGAGGCACCTTGGGCACATCTCTCTTTAGGGAGGCCGCCTTCTCCTTCTGCTTAGAAGGGGGATCGACGTCTACAGCCACACACTTCCCCGTGAGCCCCAGGTCTGCATCTCCATCTCCTACCACCGCCCCCCCCTCCCCCCATCTGTCTCCATTTCAATTAAAATAACGAAAGTTAAAGTAATTTTTAAAATTCTAAGTGTCAGTACTGCAGGAAAAAGTTGTTTGGTCTGTCTAAAGCAATTGCATGTGAAAAGCATTATTTTTTCCATGAACATACCTTAAAATCGGGGTTTTTGCTCTTATCCACGCAGGGCGAAACAAACATTGGCCTCCCTTCCACATTCTTCCTATCCAACTCCAGTGCCTGAAGGGCTGCTTTCTCTTCTTTAAACTCCACATAGCAGTAGCCACGGAAATCGCCCCGGTTGCTGAAGATGGGGCGGATCTCCACCACTTCCCCACAGGCCTCAAAGAGCGGCCTGAGAGTGGCGTCCGGTTCCGCCATGCTGTAGGGCAGGTTGCTCACGAAGACGGTGATGCTGTCCTTGCTGCTGTCGTGAGGCACCTTGGGCACATCTCTCTTTAGGGAGGCCGCCTTCTCCTTCTGCTTAGAAGGGGGATCGACGTCTACAGCCACACACTTCCCCGTGAGCCCCAGGTCTGCATCTCCATCTCCTGCTTCTCCAGCCAGGGGGACATTGTTCCCCACTCTCCTGCGTTTAGAGGGTGGCTCTACAGGTTTCCAGGAGAGAAGCAGCAATGGTTAAGTGTTTCCTCTTCAGCACTTAAGCGGAGGCTGCAGTGAAAGCACCCTTCCCACAACCAACGCTGCATGTGGTACACACTCCTCTCCCAGAGGCAGGGCAAGTACCACATCCCTGCTGGTCTCCCATGACCCTCTGGACCTGTCCCACGACTTTTGGGGCCCCAATGACATCTGTATTAAGTGGACTAAATCAAATATAATCCCCACTGTCCACTCTGGATTATAAAGGTTGGAGGGTCGTAAACTTCGACGGAAACTCTAGGGTTCCCCTCCCAGCTCAGCAGGGGTGGGATAGAGTCCTTGGGCGTCTGCACTGAAATGAACACCCTAGGAGACCCGGCTGTAAGGGCTCCGCAGATCACGCTACAGAAAGTAGGACAAAACACCTGCTTTCTAAAACACCCTCAACACACTGTGTCCTCAGAGAGAACTCAACAGCAGCATCCTACTCCAAGCCGCCCTGACCACTGCCTCCAGGGCGGTGCTGAAGCTCAGTGCTGGCAGCCCCTCCACTTGCAGCCCTTTCAGCAACTTGCCCCTGCCTTCCCAAGGCCTCTGAGCCCTGCAAGCCACACTCCAGGGCCTCCAGGCAGCCCTGTCAGCTGCCCACTGCTCCAGCCTCCCTCAGCCTGCACCTGTCCTTCTGCTGTGCCTCTGGCTCAGAGCCAACTGCCTGCTGTCACGGAAGTGCCAGGCAATCACGTGCCTTCGCGCTTTGCCACCCTCCCCTTCCTCTCCCTGGGCCAGCCCCTCACTCCTCCCCTGGATGCTCACTCCCCCACAAGTGTTCCTGGCAGCGAGCTAATCCACCAGTGCCCTCCCTGGCCTCCACGCAATTAACAGCTGCACTTCCCAGTCCTGGTCACAGGCCCTGCAGTCACATGTGACGCTCCCTCACCCCATTAAACCAGGAGCGCCCTTGGTCATTTCTGAAGACCCGAACAAGGTGCACAAGAAAGGTCAACTGATGGTGACTCCATTACCCCCTGCAGTTGACACACCCGTACCAGGAAAATGTGCGGTCCTTTAATGTCTAGAGGTTTTTCTCCTTGACTGACTGCTAACATAAGTCTGATCCACATCTGCCTATTCCTGAAATCACAGGGGTCCAGCATTAACTGGCTGCAAAATTCTACCAAGGCGATGCCATCAAGCAAGGCTAAGCGAAGTCGCTGTCTGCACAGCATGGGGGCTGCAGCAGTGGGTCGGGACACTGGAGCCTGAGTGGCAGGAAAAGGATGTGCTCGCACAGCACGGTGACAGGGACCCAGCCTGGGGTTTGGGAGCCTGAGTTGGGAGAGGAGGGTACCCTTGCAGGAGGGCACCCTTGCAGGAGGGCCGTGGCGGTGATGGCCCAGTGCTGCGCGTGGAGCCTGGGTGGACGGGGAAGGTGTGAGGGTGAGACCAAGTGGGGTGGGGGGTACCCACTCGGAGGGGAGGTGGGGCAGGAAGCTGGCTACGTACACACAGGAGACTGAGGGAATATCTAAGTTGGGAATATCTAAGTTGAGGTAACACACACACTCCCAGAGTCAGAAGAGCATTGCAAGTATGAAAGGAGAAAGAAAAAATAAAATGAACCCTGTGGACTAGAACTGGAGGTTTCAGTGGGAACTCGTGGTTTGCAATATACAGGGTTACAGAAATTAAGTAGAGACGTAAAAAGGGGATAGCGGAGGGATGGTATGCTATAAAAAGACGGTAGGGAAGGGATGGTCGCACAGTGGTAACGCAATGCTCTGGAAGGCTGACCTATGTGGGAAGGTTCTGGGTTCATATCCAGCAAACTCCCTGAACACACCAAGTGCCCATGTGCCTGTGATCCAAAGCTGAGTCTGGGGGTGGATCGCATCATGAAGACCCTGTTGGAGAGACCTGTCTCTGTCTCTCTCTTTCCTGGAATATATTTTTTTAAGTACAGATGTAAACTAAATTAAAGCACACATCAGGTACACACACACACACACACACACACACACACACACACAAACACACCCACACCACCCAAGGCTTAGAAACAATACCCACAGCAGCGAGCACACCAGCACCTCTGAAGTACTGTCTGCCACCCAAGGAGACCGTGGAGAAATAGCTGACTCCAGGATCAAGTTACAGAAAATACAGGACGACCACAGAATACTGTGTGCTAGAAAGAATGGAAGTGAGCAAAGACTGAAGGGACAGGTCACAGGGATCCCAGAGGCCTGAGTGAAGGGACTCTTCCAGCCCAATCCAGGATAAGCAGAGCATCAACATAAATACGATAACAAATCACAACTGTTGAAGAAAACAGCAATCAGTAAATCCACAACATAAATAAATAGGTGAATAAAGCTGGATGAGCAACAGAGCATTTACCGAGTCTCAAAACACTAGGCCAATACCATCTGAATACATAATTGTTATGAAGGGAAAATAGCAACTTCACAGCACAGACAGGACCACCTCAGTCACATTAGCAAAGTGACCATCACCACCAGTGAGACAAACTGTCACATGCCACACACTGGGATTCAACAAGAACTTGGCATCGCTTGCTATTCCCGCCAAAGACGCTCAACCTGAATCTAATCACGAGCCAGTCTCACACACACACTGAGGGCCATTCTACACTGGCCTGTCCCCTGAAAGAGTCCAGGTTATGAGAGTCAAGTAGAGAATGAACAATGCTCCAGACTAAAGGAGATTCAAGAGACAGGAAACAACACAATACCCGCTCCTGAGAGGGATCAACTCTTACCAGAAAGGACGTTATTGGGACAAAGGCAGAGCATGAACGGGGTCAGTGATGAGCTAGCAGCACTGGCTCGGGGATCGTCATGGCTGACCGGTCAGAAGATCGCCCTCAATTACAAGACAGACAAGCAAATGGAAGCAAAGGGTGAGGAGCAGGTGCTAGCAACTACTCGCCAATGGTTCAGGGGGAAAAGTTCCTGATGCTATTTCTCCAATTTCTCTAAAAGTTCCTAATGTTTCCGAATGAAATTCCCAAAAAGCTTTTTACCTTCTTCATCATCACCCCACTCCTTCTCCTCGTCCTCATCCGCTTTGCGTTTGTCTATGCCTCTGGTCTTTTTCTTCTTTTTGGTCGCTTTCTTCTCAGCCCGGGCCTTCTTCCGTTGTTCAGCCTTTTCTTCTTCTTGCTGGGCAAGGGCTGCTTCCTTCTCTGCAGCCTAGAAAATCGATAACAGGACACATGACTTGGTTCAGCTGGTGCACTAACTGTACTGACTTCAATGAGAGGAGGGGACGTCTGTTACCAGTGAGAAGGAGACCCCGAGAAGGTGAAGAGACATGTTCACAAGTGCCCCCCACACACACACACACTAGGGTTTATTCAGGCTCCTGAGAGGATTCTGGCTCTCAACCCTAAAGTAAGTTTAACAGTATCTTTTTATTCTTTTCCTCTATTCCAATCAATTTTAGTGCCAAGACTCTCCCATCCCATGAAAAAATATTTGTTGCTGAGGCCAAAGTTTTCAACCTATCTAAAAAGATGACAGAAGACAGGTTTGAATACTGACTCAGGCCGAGCCAGGGAGTATGGTGGTAAAGGTGGCTAGATTCCACATGGCCAGCTGTGCAGTTGACGTTCCAGACCTGGCAGCTTGGGAAACACAAAAGGCATGTATATGTGTGTACCCAAAAGCCCCAGAAGAGAATGGAAGAAAAAGGATTGCAGCAGGGCTACCCCCCGGCCAGGGGATTTGTCACTTTTTCTCTGTCTTACTCCAGTGCACACATACCCTACAGTAAAACTAAAACAAAAACAAAGACCAAAAAATAATTCAAATATTTTAACATTAGTATTCTCTGATGAGTGAAAGACACTTTAGGAAGATCTAAACGGTTCAGACAAGAAACAGCCACACGAAACACAGCCAACGTAGCTGTAAGAGGCTCCAAAGACTTCAGATAATCTCATCATTACCTTCATTCTCTGCTCATTAACACGAGCTAGTCGAGTTTCTGTTTTCTGAACGGCAATATCCCAATCTTCTAAAGTACCTTGATAGAACAGAGAAGCAAAACTTTCATTCTTTCAGTTCTGAAGGATGTAATAACATGATATTTTCTTAATTTCTCCACATCTCCAGAAGAGATTTTGCCTATTAAGGCAACTAGAGCGCCAGCTCCTGTCATCAAGAAAATTTAATTCACATAGGCCTACAATTTGGAATTCAAGGAGTCCTTCTACATGTTTAAATGGCCCTTGTGTTTCAGAAAAGAAGCCAAAAACCAGAATCTGATCTAATATGAGCTCTCAATAGCAAAAGTTATGAAGACATTCTAATGCAAAAGGTATAAAGCATTTTAAAGAGCTCCTCAAATATTGAGGTCTTTTCCTTTGTTGTGATTTTGGTCACTGCACCCCAGTTCTGAGTGGTTCAGACCCAAGATCCAGACATACAGATAAATCCACTCTACTCTCCCATTGGTTCTTGTTCTAGAACACATGAAAGGCTCTGAAATTCAACAAGGAACGCAAGTATAACCAAGAACACATGGAGCACTGCCTCTCTAGCTCCTCTCCACAGACATGGAGCCGGACCGATGGTTCCCAGTGAGGATCCTGTCCACCACAAAACATGTGGCAATGCCTGGAGACATTTTTGGTTGTCATGTTTGGTTCAGGCAGGGAGAGCCAGTACTGGCACCTAGTGGGCAGAGGCCCGGGATGCCACTACACATCCTCCAAGGCACAGAATGGCACCACCTCCAAGTCATGAGAACTCTCATGCCCAAGCTCCATCAGAGTCCCCTGGCAGCTGGCACATCTTAGAGAGCTACAGGCGGACTCATGCTCACGGTGATGGTGACACCCTGACAGTCTAATCACACAGTGCCACCTGAGGGGCGGTGACCGTGACTCAGTCTGCCCTCACTGATTATAATCAGCTGCTCCCACTTGAGCCCAAACGGCCAGTGGCCACAGGACGAGCACTCAGGGTCCCACCTTCCGTCCTCTCCATGGTGAGCAGGACTTCACAGACGTGCTCCGGGTAGTCGCTGGTGCACTGGACGGCCCGGTGCAGGGCCTTGCGGCAGTGCTGCGTGTCACCGTGCGCCCTAGGGCAGAAAACAATCAGGTGCTGCCACAATACAAAGCAGAAAGTATGTGAGGAATGGGCTGTCTTCTCCCAGGAAGAAGCACTCTGGTGACTCTAGCTTCTGAGAGCCCTGAGCTTTCAGAATACCCACAATGTTTTCTCCTCACTACATTGGAGGCTCGACAGTCACTCAGGTATCCGGCAAATATTTTGAAAATCAATGTAGCAAGTCTCACTTTGAGGAAACTCTTGACAGTATTCGTTGCAAGTGATCAAATTTGAGCTTTCAAGCGAAAATTAGAATTTTGGAAAACTTGTATCTGCCGCTGCAAGTTTTCCAGTTTCCCACTTAAAAGGCTCTTCTACTACAATCAGCAAAGATATAAACAAATATAATTTTATATCACATAATACAGTGCGTCTATATTTAGACGAGTTGTATGACTCAGTGAATTTGAATTTTCCAAATGAAAAATGTGTATCACAGAATTATGACATCATATAAAAAGTAAAAGGTCAATTCAAAGTGCAAAATGGGGGCCAACAGGCGGCACAGCAGTTACATCACTGGACTTCCACATGGCCAACTATGGTTCAAGTCCTGGACCCAATGGCTTGAAAATTATGCCAGGTACATGTGCGTGCATGTTCAAAATCCAAGAAAAAGGATGGAGGAGAAGGAACTGTGGCATGGCCATCCCCACTGGGGGATGTTTTCTCACTTTCCCTCTCTCTGTCTCTCTCTCTGGCAAGCACACGTACTCTATGGGGGAAAACAAACAAACAAAAAAAACTCTTTAAAAAAAATGTGAAATAGGGAACCAGCAGGTGGCATGATGGTTAAGGTGCTGGACCCTCCCATGTGGCAGATCACGGTTCAAGCCCGGACCTGGTAGCTTGCTTTTTCACTTTCCCTCTCTTTCTCTCTGTGCCTCTGTTCAAACTAAAATAAATGAATGATTAAATAAAATTAAATAAATAATATTTTAAAAATGTGAAATAAAGGGAACCAGCAGTTAGCGTAATGGCTATGTCACTGGACTCCCATGTAGTCGACCGCAGTTCGTGTCCCGGACCCGGCAGCTTAAAACTCACGCCGGGCACGTGTGCGTGCGTGCCCAAGATCCCGAGAGGAGAATGGAGGAGAAGGGATTGCGGCGTGACCATCCCACCTGGGGGGTGATTTCTCGCTTTCTGTCTCTATGTCTCTCTCTGTCTGTCTGGCGAGCGCACGCGCCCTACAATGAAAATCTCTCAAAAAAAAAAAATGTGAAATAAACACATGGATATTAAAGTAAGAGAGTTGGAAAAATCCATTTACGGTTTCATATTCCACACTGCAACTGACTTTAAGAAAATTTCACTTACTGAGTTTTGCTGTAGTATAACATCTCTTTGTTTTCTAACCTATCTATGTGAGCCCAAAGTTTCTTCATATTTTTTTTAGACACAATTTTGCTATAGGGCGCATGCACCTTGCTGGAGAGACAGAGAGACAATAAAGCAAGAAATCAACCCCCGGGGGAGAATGGCCATACTGCAATCCTTTCTGCTCCATCTTCCTCTCAGGATTTTGTGCACGCATGCACATGCGCCCGGCGTGAGCTGCCAGTTCAGAACATGAACCATGGTAGACTATTTGGCAGTCCAGCAGCGTAACCATTACACCACCTGCTGATCCCTCATCATACACTTTAACAAATACACATCACGACAGACATGTGCAGAAACAGTCACGAGAATTCACTAGTTTCTACTATGCTAGATTTAAGATATTTGCAAAAATACAAACCAAGCTATTTTCTCACTAAATTATTATTTTTATTTTTTAAAAAGTTATTTAGGTTAAATGTAATACATTTATTTTTAAATAAATTAATAAAAATATTTGTCAGTTTTGGGGATGGCAGGTGGCATGGTGATTGAGGGCGCTGGACTCCCCACATAGCCAACCACAGTTTGAGTCCCAGACCTGATGGCTTGCTTTCTTTCTCTCTCTCTCTACTCTGTCCCTCTCTGATCAAATTTAAATAATTAAAGTTAAATAAAATAATATTTTTAATTTAAAAAATAAATATTAGTCAGTTTTATTTTACAACATGGTAATAAGCAGCAAGGTATTACCCAAATAAGCAAAAGGTATCTGGGGTTCCCAAATTCTAAGAATGTAAAGGAGTCCTGAGACCAGAAGTTTGAGAATCACTGATCTAGGAGAACAGTAAACAAGTTTTAATAGTAGTCATCTCTAGGGATGAGATTATAAGAAATTCACTTTCTATCAAGTATTTTAGTAAAGGTTCTACTTATATTGAAGCCTACATTATTTTTTGGAAAGAACATAACATTCAAAAAAAAAGATATATTAAAAAGCTTGTCATATTCTTTATTATTGTTCCCATTTTATAACATACTGAATTCAAACTGTTTTAAAAGTTTATATCAAGGCTTGGGACCAGCAGTTAGCATAATGGCTATGTCGCTGGACTCCCACAGTCAACCACGGTTCGAGTCCCAGACCCGGTGGCTTAAAGTCACGCTGGGCGCGTGTGCGTGCGTGCCCAAGATCCCAAGAGGAGAATGGAGGAGAAGGGATTGCAGCGTGACCATTCCCCCTGGGTGGTGATTTCTCACTTTGTCTCTCTGTCTCTGTCTCTACAGCAAACACACACGCCCTATAGCAAAAATCTCTTTAAAGAAAAAAAATTTGTATCATGCATGATTTAATTACATTTTTTTAAAACATTACTCATAGAAAAAGCACAAAGAATACATCCTGGGACCAGCAGACGGTGTGGTGGTTACATCGCTGGATTCCCACATAGCTGACTGTGGTTTGAGTCCTGGGTCCAGAGGCTTGAAACTCGTGCTGGGTGTACATGTAAGTGTGCCCAAAATCCCAAGAGGAGAATGGAGGAGAAGGGACTGCATCATGGCCACACCCCCAGGGTGGTGATTTCTCGCTCTCTGTCTCTCCAGTGAGCACACATGCCCTATAGCAAAAATCTCCCAAGAAAGAATGCATCCCAAACCATTGCCTAACACTGGTTATTTCTAGTGCAGAGACTGCAAGTCATCTGAGGGTTTTTTCTTTTTTTAATATTTTGTACTTCTATCAAAGCAAATATACTACAAAATAAACAGCTCTCAAAAAGTAAGAGAAAATATTCATGGCCAAAAATCAAGACAAACAAAAACAGAAACAAAAGAAATGCGCGGTTAGGCCAGCACACAGCCTGGTGGTTAAGGGAGCTGGATCTCACATGACCAGCTAAAGTCCTGGACCCAGAGCCTTGAAAAACATACCGGGCACATATGCATGCATGCCTCAAATCCCGACAAGATGTAGAAATAAAGAGGATTGTGGCAGGCCATGCCCCATGGGGGGGGTTGCTTTCTCCCTCTTCTTCCTCTCTCTCTCTCTCTCTGGAAAGCACACACACCCTCTGGCAAATTTTTCAAAAAGCATGGGTAAGAGCCTTAGGCACAAAACAGTACTTGGTTTCTAACCATGCCAATAAAAATGTACCTACTAGTGAAAGAGAAAGGATCCAGGGAGGCAGCCCAGGTCTAAAGAGCAAGCCTCCGCTGGCGAGAGTCAGCAAGGCCTACAGACCTGACAAGCACCAGCCCCTCCCCAACGCCAGGCTGGTTACCTTTCCAGGTTGTAATATTCAAGCCACATGTTGGCATACTTGGCGTTTCCTTTGGTCATGATGCTGTCCCAGAGCTCCCGAGCTTTCTGCATGTTATTGCACAGTCGAGCCTAGAGAGCATTAACAGGCTCAGTTAGGAAAGGACACATATTTTTCGACAAAGCCTCCCAAAACTACATTGCCACATAAGTCCCTGGACATGCCCCGGGTCTTCCTCTAGTGCTGCAAGGTCAGGCCCCACCACGTCAGCTCTTCTGCACCGACGAGCGTCACACAGTGTGCCTATGCGTCCTGGTACCAGTGAGCAAGAGCCCACAACTCTCTCAAGAATACTGAATAGTCATTTGGTTTTCATTTTTTATAAAGCTTAACTCCAAAGGTTTAAACTGAGAGGCGACATACAGAAAGGTTCCATGTCTCACTCATCTTGGTGTCCCTGGCCTCATAATGATTTCAACTTATTACATCATCTAATTGTGTCAGATTTCCTGTTTTCTACACTGCGGCACAGAGACCACAGCTATGAGATTTTCCCCAGCACCGAGGAACGTGCCAGCAACCTGCTAGTCCACATTCTGCGCTTGAGTGAGCAGGCAACGAGAAAGGGGGGAAGAAGTCGAGGAGTGAGCGAGTGTGGCATTTGGACATTCGCTGCACTTCTGGCAGAAGCTAGTACTTCACCAGGACATAAACAAATGCACATCAAGCTAGATAAAGAACAGAGCACTGCAGTCTAGGCCACTCCCTGCATTACTATTTAATAGGACACTATTATACAAAGTCCTTCGGAGGTGGATGAAACTGACAGACTTATCAAGAATGTTTACCTCAATCCTAGCCCAGTTCTGCATGATCATGCAGCTTGGATCTCCGCTCTCACTGAAACCTTCAGGAATGGAATTAGTCACAATTAGAAAGACATTTAGAGATGAACAGCCTCTGGCTGAGGCGGTCCACCAACCAAGAACTGGGAACTAACTGGGCAAAGCAGTAGGTCTGGGCCATACTTACGCTCTTCTACCTCCTGTTTCAGATACTCCAAAGCACGTGTGAATGTGGACCTCAACTCTTCCAGCTCTTTACTGGAGTCTACAGGAAATTGTTTAAAAAAAGAACTTTAGGAGCCCACACAGTAAGGCTTTTTTTTTTCATCCAACACTAAAACTGCCCAGAGCGCCATCATCTACCTGGCACCACGGAGAGGACACAGAAGTGGAAATGCAGGTCCTCGCCCTCATCACACAGAGGGGGAGGAAGGCAATGAATACGATGGTATGGACAGCACCAGGACAAGCGTGAATACGAGGAGCTGTCTGGGGAACAGGTGGGTCTCCCACAGCCAGGGCAGAATGGCCAAAGACTCTCTGCATGTATAGTAAGTACAACCTAGGGTTCTTCTGGTTGTTTTGCAGGGAGAGGGAAGGCAGAGGATCCTGCGGAGGTTCAAAGATTTCAAACACAGCAGTCTTAAGTAAAGAGCACTTTAGGGTATATAAAAGGGACCAGCAGATGGTGTAATGGTTACATCGCGGGACTCCCACATAGTCAACCGTGGTTCGAGTCCTGGACTCAGTGGCATAAACCTCACACTGGGTAAGTGTGCGTGTGCGCCCAAAATCCCTAGAAGTGAATAGACTGTGGTATGGCCATCCCCCTGGGAGGTGCTATGTCTCTCTGTCTCTCTGGTGAATGTACATGCACAATAGCAAAAATCTCTCTAAGAAAAAAAAGGACAAAGGAGAAAAATAGGAGTTGAGACCAAATGAGGCAGGGGAGGGAGAGAGAGTATGAAGTGTAAGATCTGTTACTCTGCCTTTACAATCCACAGCATGGCCTGTGAATGACATAAACCACAAATTATTTCTGAAAGAAGAATTTACCAATGGCTGGTCACATCATTTGACCAGTCGTGACATTTGGGGGACTGGGACACCTCACCACAGACATGGAATGAAGGAGTTCAGTTCTGAGGTGAGACAGCTGCACTTAAATACCTTGTTTGAAATCAACCCTTCTCCTCAGGTAATCAAGGTACGCCTGCCAAATCTCCACATAGTCCGTGGCCTGGATGAAGCCGGCATTCAAAGCTTTCTCAAAGGTTTCTGAAAGTAGGAGAAAAAGTCAGAATTTACTGCCTATTCGAAAAGAAGCTAATATAAAATTAGCAAACTCTACTGACTATGAAAAAGCACTCTATGACTTTAAAACTAACTTCATAGGGCCAGCAGGGAACGTGGTGGTTAAGGGCACTAGACTCCCACATGGCCAACTGTGGTTCAAGTCCCAGACCTGGCGGCTTGCTTTCTCTCTCTCTCTCTCTCCCTCGCTCTGTCCCTCTGGTCAAATTTAAATAAGAAAGTAAGTAAATTGGGGACCAGCAGTTAGCATAATGACTATGTCACTGGACTCCCATGTAGTCGACTATGGCTCGAGTCCTGGACCTGGTGGTTTAAATTCACACCAGGCATGTGCGTGCATATCCAAGATCCTGAGAGGAGAATGGAGGAGAAGGAACTGTGTCATGACCATTCCACCTGGGGGGTGATTTCTAGCTTTCTGTCTCTATGTCTCTGTCTTTCTGGCAAGCACATGCACCCTATAGCACAAACCTCTCCAAAAAAAGAAAAAGTAAGCAAATAAAGTTAAATAAAAATAAATCTTTAAAAATAATAACTTTGTAATAGCATGCGACCAAGTGAGATGAGCCAGAGAGCAATGTTCCGAAGAGCAGAGAATTGCACAAAATGTGTTCTGGGGGGAACCAGCAGTTAGCGTAATGGCTATGTCGCTGGACTCCCATGTAGTTGATTGCGGTTCACGTCCCGGACCCGGTGGCTTAAAACTCACGCCGGCCGCGTGTGCGTGCGTGCCTGCCCAAGATCCCGAGAGGAGAATGGAGGAGAAGGGATCGCGGCATGACCATCCCCCCTGGGGGGTGATTTCTCGCTTTCTGTCTCTATGTCTCTCTCTGTCTGTCTGGCAAGCGCACACACCCTGTAGTGAAAATCTCTCCAAAAAAAAAAAAAATGTGTTTCCTGAAGGACTCATGTCCCCTAAGTCCTGCAGTAAGAGTTTCAGATCAACTAAGCTTGCAGGAAAGACCACAACTTCTAGGCCAACCAGTTTATCTCCCACTTACAGCAGTTTTTGCCACTAATACTCAATATCCCAAAGATACTGATTTAATGCCCGCATCACAGCTATTTCTGACTTGAGACCAAAAGCTCCCAAGTCTCCCTACAAAAATCGTCGCACCAGAAATCACTTGATGATCAACTCCATGTCTCTCCATGGCCAAGAGGTACCGACTCCACAGGGCGACTGTCCAGGGGCAGTTCCTAACAGCACGGTTATGCACAGACAGAACCAGATCCTTCACTTTCAGCTGCCGATCCTATAACAAAAGAAGTACAGGGTGAGGAGACAGTATTTTACTATTACTATTTCACCATAGATGAGACATTGCCAGGACAGCATCTGACAAAAGACATTTTCTTTACAGTGTCTCTTGCGATCCAGCTTCTCCAACAAAGAAATCCCCCGGGGGTGGGGTGGGGACAACAGATTTAAAAAGTCTTAAGAGACATCAACCACTCCTGACGGCTAGCCCTCATCTGAATCCTTTTATACAGGAAAGGATCTTTTTGTATATCTGCACTGAAATATTTACCAATGAAATATGGTGTCTTTATCTGCTTCAAAAGTAACACACACCAATGAGCCCGGTGAGGACACAGGGCCGTAACTGATAGTAACTACTGTTGAAGGTGAATGAAGAGCACATGAGGTTTCACTTTATTAGTCTGTCTCCTTTCATATGCTTACATTTCTCCCACAATAAACAGTTAACAGAAAAATCAATCTGTTATGAAGTCCTCAATAGTAAGATTATAAGCTCCCCCCCTTTTTTTAAACAGTTAGTGATCAGCTTAAATCAACCTAAAACACTAGAACTACTTCCTAAGTGAGCTGGCAGAGGGGGGAGAAGGAAGTTGGAGGACAAACAAGACGCAGCAGAGGGGACAGCAGCTGCCTCCTGAGACGCCTACGCATTTAGCTTTGAATGGATTCTAAATTGGTAAAGATAAAACCAGAACAGGTTATCTTACTAGGTACTGACTGTAACGGATCCATAAGTCGGGGACAAGGCAGTTCTCAACCAGGGCGCGCTCAAAGATCAGCTGAATGCGAGCAGGATCCCCAATTTTCATCTCGAAATCGATATATGCTTGATACTCTGCCAGCCGCGGTGCCTCTGCTTGCAACTGGAGCACGGGAAAATTGCATTAAAGCTGAATTTAGTTACTTGATACTGTCAGGAAGCACAAAACATCATCGAATAAAATAAATTTGGGCAAGACTGGCTACACCAAGATAAGAGTCACCAATCCTCACGCTCGGAAGTAATCCACAATGGGATCTACAATTTGATGAACAGAACAGTCTTCCTGTCTGGTCCAAAGTGCTTCTTCCTAAATTACTGATTTCCATAAACCATTTTCTAAATCCACTCCAGGACACAAGGAATTAAAATCATCCGTCAATCAGGAACTACAAGAAAAACCACCTTTGCCAATGACCACTGCTAACCTTCCTTCCAAAACAGAAGTCATTTCCTTGGCCTATTGAGTGGAGTGAACACAAGCAAACTAGAAAAACTCAGTGCCTTGAGCTATTTCAAATTTCTCATTCCAAAAATCAGTTCCTACAAGAGTATAGATACATGCAAAAGATGGAGAGGCTATGCTGAAAGTTTTTTGATCAAAAGACAAAAAAATCAAATTTTTTGGACAAAATCCTCTTATCCAACTTGTTTCTTCGGCCACATTCTGCTGATGGCTGTAACAAAACTGAAGTGGTGAGCACTTCATTAATGAGGCTTTGAGAAACAGAAGTACATGCAAATCATTTGCACTTGAAAAAGGGAGGGGGTTAGGTACAGGTGAGCAAGAGGGCGCACATGCTCTGGAAGCAGAAAGACGTTTCAGGGCCTCAGTTTCCAATAATTAAGATTCAGTTACCCAGACTCACTGTGCCATTAAAAACAACTAAAACTCCTACATTAAGTATAAAAGGCATTTTCTTAAAAATCATCTACAGAGGTGGCCCCATGGTGCAGCAGTTTAAGCATCAAGCATAGAAAGCTAGACCCCATATAATTGATTATAGTTCACGTCTCAGCCCCAGCAGCTTGAAAAATACTCTGGACACGTGCTGGCCCCAAATCGTAACGGGATGGAGAAATGGAGGAAAAGGGATTGTGACATGACCATGCCACGCCCATTGGGCACTGGAGTACTGCGCTCTCTCTTTTTCTGGAAAGCACAGGTGCCCTCAGGCAATTTATTAAAAAAAAAAAAAAACTCAAATCGACAAACTGGCAAGAAAAAAATATTAAGAACGAAATAAATCTAAGTGAGGTAGCAAGCTAACCCAGAGGCAAAGAGCTAGTGAGTGGCAGAGCCACAATTCAAACTTGAGGCAGCCTGACTCTCAAAGTTTGTTTACGTAATTACTCACTACGCCAAGATACACCAGAAACAGAATCAAAAAGCCTAACAATCCTCAAACAGGACAAACAGATAACCACACCTAGACCTACTGTAATGAAAGCGGGCGATCAAACCAAACCAATGAGATCCTTAGCTCAGAGAAACACAGGGATTGCCACCTTCAAAAAAGCAAGAGGTAGATGGCTGACTTCTAAATAACAACGGAAGCCAGGAGACAGAAAGAACGATATACCCAATGGCTAAGAGGACATAGCTAGCAAATCTGAAATTCAAGCCCCGAGAAAATAACTTTCAAGAAGAGAGCAAAGTAAAGACCTTCTGGACAAACAAAAGCTGAGAAAATCTGCCAAGAGCAAACCTCCAGTGCAGGAGACCCTAAAAAGGTGTTCTTCCAACTAAAGAAAAGTGATTCCAGAAGATGTAGGATGCAAAAAGGAAGAGCAAACAAAGTGGGCATGCATGCGGTAAAACTGCAAACCAACTGCATGATGCAGTGTGAAAGATGATGCCTGCGGGTCAGGCAAAAACACACGTACCAGAAAACGAGATCGTAAGTCTGGGTGAGACACAGTAAATGAAGTGAAAGGTGTTTTAAGAATGAGAAAGAAGGAAAATGCCATTTACAAATAATACAGTCAACACAGTCAACACAGAATACCCCAAAGAACCTATAAACTATGAATAATAATTTAATGAATTTGGAGAGAAAAATAAGTTTTAAAATGTCAATTGTACTTTATATATCAGGAACAACTAGAAAATAAAATCTTTAAAAAGATATCATTTACGGGACCAGCAGTTAGCATAATGGCTATGTCACTGAACTCCCATGTAGTCAACCACGGTTCAAGTCCTGGCCCTGGTGGCTTAAAACTCAGGCCGGGTGCATGTGCATGCATGCCCAAGATCTCGAGAGGAGAATGGAGGAGAAGGGATTGGGGCATGCCCACCCCCCCCCCAGGGGGTGATTTCTTGCTTCCTGTCTCTCTGTCTCTGTCTCTCTGGCAAGCGCACACGCCCTGTAGCAAAAACCTCTCCAAAAAAAAAAAAAATTAAAAAGATACCATTAACAATAACATCAAAGCCACTCAGAAATTCAAATGAAAATTGCTGTGTTTGAGACACTGGACAAATCTATAAAAATTTTTATAAAATTTTACAGAAAGATGAGACCTCAATAATGAAACCTTTACGAGTACAATATTCATAGATTAGAAGATACACATTCATCCTCAAATCGACCTACAGGTTCAATGTGATTCCAATAAAAAAACTCAACCTCTTTTTTAAATTGAGCTTGAAAAACTGATTCTAAATTCAACAGAAGCACCAAGAGCTACAGAAAGCTAAGCCCCTCTGGAAGTAGATCGAACCCATCCAGTCCGAGGTCAGAACTTACCATCAAACTGTCGATAGGACAACATGATACAAACCAGTGGAGGGAGGGGATAACAGAAAATCCAGAAGACACCCCAAACAGAGGTGAATGCCCATCTGTGACAGACGTGGCACCACACATTAGTGGGAAGAGGACGGAATTATCACACTCAGTACTAGAACTGGTCTTCACATGGGAAAACGAAACCAGACCATGCCCCATACCACAAAGAAATGGGCTCCAGGTGGATGAAGACCTAAATGTGAAATAAAAAACTATAAAACTTTTAGAATAAAATAGAGCTAAATACATTAAAGACCTCAGAGCAATGGAGATTTTTAGCACAATGACACCATAAGCCATAACAGAAAGGATAATAAATCAAATTAGACTAAGAGTTATACATCCAAAATTACCTTTAAAAAGGTGAAAAGAGAGCCCTGCTGCAATGCTGCGCTGTGTGCTCCACAGGCGGGGAGCACATGAGAGGCCCAGGTTCAATTCCCAGACTAACCTAAAAGCCAGGCGCAGTGGCGCATGGCTGTAATCCCAACAACCTGGGAGGCTGAGGCAGCAGGACAGTCAGCTTAAGGCTGGCCTGGCTAAGACAGCAAGATCCTGTCATTGAAGACAAACAAAAAAAGAAAGAAAGAAAAAGAGAAATAAAGCCGCAAACCGGGGCAAGGGTGCAGAACCTACAATACACACAACAAAAATAAGGACTGAGACCCAAGACTCCCAAGAATCAAGTAGAAAAAGGACAAATGGAAAGAAAAACAGGTCAAAGACTTTAACAGGCACTTCACAAAAAAAGAAATCCAAGTGGCAAATAAACATGAAAAAATAGTCACCTTCATTAGTAATCACGGGAATGCAAATTAGAACTACAATCTCAAGCCCATCCAACTGGCTAAAAGGTAAGTGCATCAACATCCAGGGCTGGCCTGCCCGATGAGCACCTCACAGGCTGCCGGCAGGAGGGCAGGCTGACCACCTCGAAAACACAATGGCATCACCCTACAACCCTGCGGTTCCACTCCTGAGAATATAAATATTCCAGAGAAACTCTGTCATGTGCACCAGCAGATACACTCAAGACTGTTCAGAGCAACAGTGCTCCTTTTAGCAAAAAGTAATAAAAATGACCTGCTCTCCAGCAACATGGACAAATGCATGGTGGCCTACACAGGGACCTTTACAGCAGTACAAACAAATGCACCGTAACCATACTAACAATGAATAAACCCCAACACGTGTGAAATGAGCAGAAAATACAGCATGATTCCATTACAATAAGCAAAATCAAGCAGTATTTTAATTAAGGATATGTTTACAGGTTGTAAAACTATAAAGAAAAGCAAGGGAATGCTTATCACAAAAGTCAGGAAAGTGATTACCTCTCGGGAGAGGGAGGAGGAGGAATCGGAGAGGGGCACATAGGAGACTTCTAAGGAACTGGCAATGTTCTATTTCTTAACCTGGGTGGTGGGTACATGGACGTTCACTTTATTAGTGGTATGTAAAAACGAATGTACACACTTACACACTCTATAGATTTCACAAACAACACATTTTAAAGATACTGTTTTTACTTGCCAACTGGCGATCAGGGAAATGTCTGTGGGGTGAAGTTTTCCGTCAACGCGGCCAGCACTTACCAGTGCCTCCTCGTAGGGCTTGTATTTCTCCAGCTGCTGTAGTGCTTTGTTATAGCTCTGAATTACCGACTCTGGTATGGGCTCCTCGGACCACTCCTCGTACTCTGCAAATGTGGCCTCCATATCTATTGAGAGACGGATTCAGCCCGTGGATCTTGCCATTGCATTTTATCAACCCAAACAGATTAGGCCGTGAGACTCGAGAGCCGCCAGCCCCTCCCACATCTGTGGCTATGGTAGCTATTTCTGATCAAATTTTGAGTTCTGCTGTGCCCAGACTTGGCCCTAGAATCTGTCACAAAACGATGTTCCAGGCAACTCTACCAGCTAGTTAATCAGTCAATAAAACCTTTAGGGGTATTCAAAAAGTCATGGAAAATGTGCATTAAGAAAAATCTATACAGGGACCAGCATAATGGTTAGGTCGCTAGACTCCCATACACTCGACCACAGTTCAAACCCTGGACCTGGCAGCTTAAAATTTAGGCCAGGCGTGTGTGCACACATGCTCAAAATCCTGAGAGGAGAATGGAGAAGGGATTGTAGTGTGGCCATCACCCCTAGGAGGGTGATATCTCACTTTCCTTCTGTCTCTCTGGTGAGCACACATGCACTATAGCAAAAGTCTCTCTTATTAAAAAATATATATATATGCACAGATGTCAAGGTTTTTTGGTAACTAAATAAACTTGTACTTTCACTCCAATTCTCCACAAATGTTTTGAAGCCTCCTCCGATCAGCAGTGCTTCAACAGCACTTACCTAGTACTTCTACCATTCCAGCACATCACATCCATTGCCTCATTCAATCCTCACAACACTACACGGTAGGCTCTGCTGTAATCCTCATCTTTGCAAGGGAAGAAACTGAACCAGGAGGTTAAGTCACTTGTCTACAGTTTACGGCAGAGCAAGGTTTTGAACCTGGGCAGTCTGACTCGAGTGCACGCTAACCACTGTACTAACCTGTTTCACGTTGATATGTGAGATAAACTCTACAAACCAGCTCAGTTTCAGCCTTTTCCACATGTTACTAACAATTTGGATGGTCACTTTATAACTTGTTGACTAAAATCCAAATAAACCATGACGTGAATGGGGAAATAAGACCTGGGATCAAGTCACAGTGCCTAGAGGTTCTGCATGAGTACAGTGGGTGACCTAACTAGAGGACAGACAAGGAGGCAGAGTCAAACTCCTCTTGCTGCTACACAAGCTCTCAGCTCCAAGGCCACAAAGGTCTGGCTTGCCAAAGGACCTTCACCTAAAGAGGAGACTCTAGCCGGGGCCGGCAGGTGGCATGGTGGTTGAGGGTGCTGGATTCCCACATCTTTCTCTTTTTCTCTCTCTCTCTCTCTCTCTCTCTCTCCCCCTCCCTCCCTCCCTCCTTCCTTCCTTCCCTCCCTCCTCCCCTCCCTCTCTGGTCAAATTAAAAATAAATTAAGTTAAATTTTAAGAAAACCTTAAAAAAAAAAAGGCAACTCTACTGAACCCCAATAAAATCAGATATGAATACGTCCAACTGACTGTATTTCTGGACCAAACCACTTTCACAGAGGAATAACATAAGCCCATATAAAATTCCTATCCCACAGTGGAACAGGTTACTCCTGAAGGGAAAATGCTTATAATGTTAATTTTATTCAACAGTTTCTCCAGAAAATATAGGATGTCAGTTTCCCATTCATTTCAGAGACCCCCAACTCCTCCTTTTCTAAAATGTCTTAAGGCAGAAAAGAGATTGCATCTGGGAGTCAGGGAATCTGGTTTCTAGCCCTGCCTATGACCCAATGACCTCTTGAGCATCAACAATTCGAGGTATGCTTTTACCAAGGGCCTCATCCAGAGCCAAGAGTACCCCATGAAAGTAAGAGCACCAGCCCCACTGTGCCTCACAGGAGGCTGGAAACGTCTAACTAGAAACCACAAAGGGCTGGCTGCTGTTGACATGCCGGTTTCTTACCGTAAAGGGGGATCGCCAGCTGTCGCCGGAAGAGACTGTGGACTTTCTCAAGCTGTGAATCAAAGGTTTGTTCCCGGTCAAAAGGGGAAAGGAAGCCAGCTATGGGCTAAAGAAGCAAATTAGTAGTAAATGACAAACTTTGGTTCTTCCTACTTCAAAAGACATTTCAACAACATTTTAGTTCTAACTTTTTAAAAATCATGTAACCACTTACACATGAGGTATGCCAAATGGGGGAAGGGGTGTTCGAAATTAATAATATCTTTACCTCTCAGTGTTTACAACAGGGAGAAAAAAAAGATTATGCGGAATGTATTCAAATAACTACAGGAAGCAGAATTCAAGTATCCTAAATGTGAAGTTTCCTAAGTACCAAACTATCAGGGAGCTAGCTTTAGGCTGATTCTTAGGAGTGGGCTGGTATCACAGGAGGAAGAAATCGGGAAAGACTCCTGGGGAAGCTGCTACCTGGGCTGCTTCTACAGGTGCCCTGGACACAGCGAGAGAGAAACGGACTCCCAACTGAAGGAACGGTATGAGCAGTACCGTGGTAAGGAAGTGGACAGTGTTCAGAAGACACTGGGAAGAGAGTCCATGCAGGAGCTATGTCTGACAGTACAGAAGCTAGGCAAAGGTGAGAGCCTGACACCTTCTTCAGGGTCAACTAACGGCACCACTGCAGATATCTTACCGGGGATATAATAAAGAAGTGACTGGGACGACTTTAATGTAACAGCCTACCTACTGGAGGACTCCACTACGTATCAACACCTTCATGCACACACACAGACAATGCCGCACAACTCTAGGAATCATAGTCTTAATAGCGTAATTATCATGGGGTCAAATCTCAATTTCAATTGGACGTTTCTGCCCCCCACCCCCACCCCAAGAGTGGTATGGTTATTCCTGTACATTCATCTGGAAACATGTCATAGAGCAGTAGTATTTTTAAATATCAGGAAAAAAATATCAGTGAGGCATCTGCTTTTAAGATAAAGAACTCAACCTCGCTATCCCACAAAGACCACCAACTTTATTTACTTACTACTCACCCACTAAGGGACGGGTGAGGACCATTTGGTCAGCCATGTTAACAGCAAGATTCAGGTTGGACAAGGGTTTCAAAATAATGCTTCCACGATGACTATACCGACAATCCCCGCTCGTTCAGAGGCAATGGCTGGCCACTCACCCGCGCAGCTTCTACAATGGCACTTTCAAACTCCCGGTAGGCCTCCCAGATGGCAAGTCCTTTGGTCATGTGTAAACCGACGGACGAGAGAGCCCTTTCAAATACAGAGCGCACTTTCTCCAGGCCACCTTTCTGACCAATCCCACCGACCGAGTACTGGCCATACTCCAGCCAAATGTTAGGACCTAAGGATGAGAAGTGTTCAATTAGTTCAGGATATAAAATGCCCAAAGATCAAAATGGATGCAGGATAAAGACAATGATAAAAACAATTAAATCCAGTTGCTATGAAATCCACTAAAAAAGTCCTCACTCACACCAAGAGTTGAGAGCATGATTAACAAGCATCCCAACATCCCAGACGTTACTGATGAAGCGCAGACCAAGAGCTAGATCTGGCTCCTGACCCACAGCAGCGCAATCAGCTGGTCTAGAGGGAAGGCACGGTGACAAAGTGACAGTGAGGGCCTGACAGCAAAGATTACTGCAAAGCCATGAAGGTCCCAAAACCCTCAGAGAAGGAAAACCAACACTAATGACAGCCCTGAGACATCAAGACAGGGTAACGGGAGCATCAGAGAATGTGGGAACAACATGCCTTACTAACTCCATCAGATTCCTTTTCTTCCTGTCACAAGACAGACAGACACACGTACACCCTTGACAGTGCCTCCCCACACACCACGATCTCCCCCAGACTCCCAACCAGACTCCTAGCCAGCCAGGATTACAGGTACACACAGGCCTGCCTGGCATGCTGAGGTCCACCTGGGATCCAAACCCAGGCCTCCCTTAGCTCCAGCATCACAGAGCAGTGCTCCACTGCCTAAGACATTATGGCTGGGCCTCTACCAGTGATTCTAAAAAAATCCCTGGGTGGCAGAGCACGGGGACAGGTACAGCTTTTAAAAACCCACTAGTGGGACCAGGAGATGGCATAATGGTTACATTGCTGGACTCCCACATGTTCAACCATGGTTCAAGCCCTGGACCTGGTGGCTTGAAACTCATACCAGGTGTGTGTGTGTGTGTGTGTGTGTGTGTGTGTGTGTGCCCCAAATCCCAATAGGAGAATGGAGAAGGGATTGCGGTGCGGCCATCCCCCTGGGGGTGGTGTGATTTCTCGCTTCCTGTTTGTTTCTCTGTCTCTCTGACAAGCGCATGTGCCCTATAGCAAAAATCTCTCTTAAAAAAAAATTACTATAATTTATTTAGAAAACATCTATTACTTTCATTATTTTGATTATAAAAAATAAAAAATATATAAATTCTTCTTGATAGGTAAAGGTACACTAAAACTTTGCTCCACCCCAGGACAGTCTCTCTTAGGTACCACCATTTCTCACAGGGGGAAATGCCCACAGCAGGGAGTCAAAATAGACAGAAAGAGGAAAGATGTTTAATCTAAAAGGGGGAAAAAAAATTTTTTTTTGAGAGGTTTTCGCTATAGGGCGCGTGCACTCGCCAGACAGACAGAGACATAGAGACAGAAAGCGAGAAATCACCCCCCGGGGGGATGGTCACACCGCAATCCCTTCTCCTCCATTCTCCTCTCGGGATTTTGGGCGGGCACGCACGCACACGCACCTGGCGTGAGTTCTAAGCTACCGGGTCCGGGATGTGAACCGTGGTCAACTACGTGGGAATCCAGCGACATAGCCATTACGCTAACTGCTGGTTCCCAAGGGGGAAAATTTTTTAATGCTTTTTAAAAGCTTTTCTAAACAGCATTTTCAGACGTGATTCTCAAGGAATATGGAAAAAGTATTTAGGACAATTATATGACAAACAGGAGGGCAAGGAGATTTAAAAAGGGACAAAGGGTTCCCACACATCACTGGCACAGATGAAAGGCAACAGTAGCACACAATGCGATTTCTGTTGGGGGGAGAACGGGTCCATATCTGGACTGCAGCAGCGGTTCCACAAGTCCACACATGTGACAACATGGAACTACACGCACGCACACACCCACACACCCACACACCTAGGTCCATTTGACCTTGTTTGATTTTATATCCAAGTTATACAGAGGAATCTGGGTAAGTTGAGCACACAGAGCTTCTATGCATTATTTCTGCAACTTCCTGTGAAAATATAACTATTTCAAAATAAAAGGGAATTTTTTCCAATATATTTTTTCTAATATATTTTTAAAAAGCATGCATCCCAAAACCTCTAAAAAACTACTCAATGTATCTTTGGTTACCTGGAAAGACTATGTAAGTTCTTCCTGCATGATAAATACTAGATGTGAGCATATTCATTTCCTTACTACAGGTATTTCTCCCACTTTTATTTTAAAACCAAATATTCTCAAGGAAAGATCACAGACAATAGAAACAATTAAATCCAGTTGCTAGACTAACACGATCCTTTCTGGACAGCAACATCTCACTATACAATCCATGAGAGCAGAGACTGATGTAGACAGCTCCACCAGACAGACACCCTAGAGAATCCCACGGGGACTCACAAATGTAATCCTTCACAGCTTTCTCGAAGAGCTCGTACACATGCTCTCGGTCCAGGCCGTCCAGGGCCATGCTGATCTCGTCGTGCAGCCACTCCAGCCAGAGCTCTGCAAGACAATAAACAGCACCCACTGTGTTACCACCTCCCTCGCCCAGAGGGTGGGCTGAGAGTGGGACTCTACCAAGACCTCGGTGCACTAGCAATCTGTCCATCTGTTTACACAATCTGGCCCCGTTCAGAGAAAGCCAATTCTTAAACCTGAACCAACCAATAGAGAAGGTTTGATGCTTCCAAGTAAGATCGAATCACTAAAATCATCGTACCCTACACCTGTTGGGCATTTATTGTACGAAGTACTTACGTGCATGTTTTCTCATTCAGCCTTGATCACGATCCTGTAAGGTAGGTGACAGTAACATCAATACTAATATCAATACTAATGTCATCCAGCTAAGGATTTACGACATGTTTGTTAAATGTTGCCAGCAGAATTAGCTCTTCCTATTTTGACATGCATTGCAAGACAGAAATTACTATTATCCTCATTTTAGTGCTAAGAAAACTGTGTCTTAGAACGTTTAAAATAATCTGCTTAAGGTCATCTAACTAATGATAGGTCTAGCTAGGAATGAATCTGGGCAATCTGATTTCAGTGCCTACACTCAGCAGTGCTACTCTGTAGGAGGAAGAGGACAGTGAGGATCTAGGGTCAAGTTTTCCAACTTCTGCCCAAAAGATCACTTATGAATATTCACCAAGATTTAACTACAAAGTTGCTCAGTGGAATATGCTTCTAATAAGCAAATAAATAGAAACAGTCTGAAGGCCCAACTACTGTGGAACAATTTTGATATGAAACATTTACATTAAAAATATAAAAGTTGGGACCAGCAGCATGGTCAAACCTCAGACCCAGTGGCTTAAAACTCACACCAGGTACATGTGCATGTGTGCCCAAAATCCTGAGAAGAGAATGGAGGAGAGACTGCACCGTGGCCCTGGGAGCAATGATTTCTAGCTTTCTGTCTGTCTCTGTCTCTCTGGAGAGCACATGCACCCTACAGCAAAAAAACTCTCTTAAAAAAAAAAAATGTAAAAGTTTAGCTATGTTTACAATTTTCTGGTTCTGAGAGAATGGGAAATAGAGAATGGGGGCAAAATTGAAGCTACATAGAAAATCTGTCATAATGTTAGGATAAAGAGAATTTGGGACCAGTAGATAGAGCAATGATTATGTCGCTGACTCCCACACAGTCGACCATGGTTTGAATTCCAGACCTGGGGACTTACAATTCACACAAGGCAAGTGATCGTGTGTGCCCAAGATCCCAAGAGGAGAAGAGAGAAGAAGGGATTGCAGTGTGGCCATCCCCACTGCAGAGAGGGGAGGATTTTTCGCTTTCTGTCTCTGTCTCTCCGGTGAGTACATATGCCCTATACAAAAATCTCTCTAAAAAAAAAAAAAAAAATAGGGCTCAGTGCTGTACGATCACAACTGCATTTTATAAAAATCTTTAAGAGAATAAAGTAAAAGCTGATGGTGGATAATGGATTTTCTTCTTTCCCCTATGCTATATATTCTAAATGGTCCTCTATAAGGACTATGTCCTGCTCTCAGCCTTGAAAAGAACATAACTCCTCCACCCCCCATGTTTCTAGAAGCAGCCTGAGTGCTGAGGCGCTACCTTCAGTCAAGGGGAAGAGTTCGCTCATCTTCTGGCGGGCCATCCTCACTTTGGTGAGCTCCCCTTCCAACCGGAGCAGCCTAATCAGGTCCACGTGGCAGTTGTAGTCGAAGACGTTGATGGACAGCTAAAAGAAAAGAGCAGTTGAAATGTAAAATGCCATCCTCAGAACAGCTTTTGTCACCACAGATGACGAGGCACATATATGCCACAAACAAAATGATCATGCTGTCTCGAAGAGCCACTGACTGGGCAATGTAAGACCTGCCCTCAGGAAGAGGACAAAATGATGAAAGAGGAGGCTTTTGGGGTAAACATAAACCATTACACTAACTGCTGGTTCCCCTCAGAACAGCTTTTGTCACCACAGATGACAAGGCACATATATGCCACAAACAAAACGATCATGCTGTCTGGAAGAGCCACTGACTGGGCAATGCAAGACCTGCCCTCAGGAAGAGGACAAAATGACGAAAGAGGAGGCTTTTGGGGTAAACATAAACCTCCTCAAATGTGTTACAATCCCTGGTTGAAGACAGTTGGGTTCTCTCTGAAATACAGGAGATGTTCTAATGAAACAAACAAAAACTGTGTGACCCTAGGCAAGTTATTAACTTTCCTAAATTTCTATTCCATTGTCTAAAAGGGATAGCTAGTGAGATCCTTATGATCTGTATCTTGACTGTATCAATGACAACATCCAGCTGTGATATTTGACTACAGTTTTGCAAAGTGTTACCCTTGAGGGAAACTAAAAGTTACACAGGGCCTCTGAATCATTTCTTTCTTTGTTTTCCTTTATCTTCCCCCCCCCCAAATGGAGGGAGGTTATGTGTGTATTACTTCTTACGACTTTAGTACTCTAATAAACCAGATACTGGCTGTTTCATTAAAACACAGAAAGACAGCTAGTAAATTTGATTACTTTAATTAGCATAGGTTTTAAACAAAAAATAACAACCTAGTGAATCGTAAACAGAAGGAAAAAAGCAACCATTTGCAGAATACAAATATGAAGGATTATGTTCAAGCATTTTCATTTTAAACAGGAACCCATATTTTTCTCTATTTATTATAATAGTAAAAGCCAACCATGGCTTCCTAGTATCCCTGGAACTATGTGTAAACTCCTTCCCCACATGCCAGGACTCCTCTCTCCAACCACAGCACCCAGCTTCCGTAACTCACACTGCAAAGTCTCTCACCACTTGGGGTTCACTGCACCTTTGGCCCAGAAGCTCTCTCCCTGGCTATGCACATAGTCACTTTTTGTTCTTCAGGATCTGATTAAACTTCAGCCCCCCAGAAGGGCCTTCCCTGGCCACTCTTTCTAAAGTAGCTCTCTACCTGCTGCAAGCTGTTTTCCATATCATCCCATTTACTTCCTTCATCATCTACAGGTGCCATGGGATAAGCACTTGGTATGTCTTGTGTCTTGCTCAGAGAGAGCTGGATTCTCCTCAGCCATCTGGCACACAGACATTACCCGCTGACCTCACTCAAGAGCACTAATACAAAAAAAATCCTAAATAAAATACTAATACAACATGTATTAATAGAAAGAGGGTCAAACATAATGACCAAATCAGGTCCATCTGAAGAATGCAAGGATAGTTTGACACTTGAAAATCAATTAGTTTAATTTTCCACACCAGCAGATTCAAGGGGAAAAAAAATATGCTCATCTCAAATGAAAAAAATCATTTGATAAAAATGCCCATTAATGATTAAAAATAAAAATGTAGCAATCTAGGAAAAGAAAGGCATTTCCTTAACTTGATGAAAGTATCTACAAAAATCTACAATAAATATAACTCCTACTGATGAAACATTAGAAGTCCTTTCACGAAAACATCATAAAGAGTTCCAGTATTATCTACTATTTCGCCCTGTACCTAGGTCTGAGGTTGGAAGATTCAGACAAGGAAAAGAAACAATGACATAAGAATAAGGTATGTATTTCGAGCAATTTAACCCAGTAAGCCACGTGGGATCTCATGATCACGAAATAGGTTGAAAAAGCACTTGGCCAGGTCAGGACACAAGTGCTCTCCAAGCCCTGCTGCTGTTTCCTCATCTGCACAGAAGAGAAGCTGACTACCCCTCTGGTTCTCTAATGAGCTATCATGACACAAGGTAACTGCAGTTAAAGTGAAGTCTGAGGGAGCTGTCTTTTCTCATTAAAGAACAATGAAGGTTGTTTCTGTCAGACGACCCTCGACTCACTGGTGCCTGAATGTACTTCTGGGGTATAACAGGAAACAAGAGCCCTTGCTAGTCAGTGTCAGGAAATCTATGCAAGAGCCCTTCCCATGAACACCAGGTGCAGGTCAGCAAAGACAAAGGTACAGAAGTCACCTGAGTGGAGAAACTGCCTCTAGGTGGTTTGGGGCCAATTTCTTACTTTCAGGTCAAACTAATGAAGATACTATATGTGGAAAAGGTGCTCTGAAAATACATGCATTAAATGCACACTGAAACGCACTGGAAGACAGTTCCACGTAGTCCTACTAATAATGCAAATAAGTGCACATGCTGGTCTAGTCTGGTGTCAGAACATCATTAATGACCTAAGATGCTATAAGGTAAAGAGGCAGCTTAGTCAATGCACAGAATGATCTAACTGATTTTCTAACTCCCTAGGGGTGTGAAAAGGTATCACATCTATCTCCTAGAATGGAGGTGAGAATAACAGAGGTCTGAAGGAAAGGAAACAATTCGAACACTCATAGCAAGGAAAGGAGTACAGAGAGTGTCTTTCCTTAGCACCTACTATGTGGAAACCTGTGCCAAGAGTTCTACACGCATTCTACCACACAAGCCTCACAAGCCCAGGGAGGGAGACAGTGAAACAACCTTCATTTTATCAGCTGGGACACCCTAAGCCCAGGGAGCTGAAATAACTTGCACAAGGTCTTTCCACAGTGAGTGGAAGGCTTGGGTTCACACTGGTAACAAAGCCACAGTCTCTATACTGCTCCACGCAGCACTGACAACCTGCCCACAGCACAGTGAGACGCCACATCTAGTGTCAGCACACAAACACAAACGAGGGCAAGCCTCTGCTTTTGTTACAAGGACAGATACCACAGTAAATGGCCAGCTTTCATAAAACACATTCAGAATGAGAACCGGAATTGGCAAATATGGCAAGGCCAAGGTTTGCACAGGCCTATTTGGAGGTTACTTCTAATTATTCTCCACTTCTGAGCAGTAACAGCAGGAAGAGAGGCTATGAAATTACGATGGGGTAAGAGGGAGGTTTGGGAAAAACTGTAAAAGTCCATTTCTACACTCCAGGACAGAAAGGTAAGGTCAGTGACGCCTCGTCTCACCACCACTTGCCATTTCCACCCTGCGCGGTCACTTTCTGAGCTCATCCCACCCACAGTGACCTGAGGCAGGCCAGGCAACTGTGGGGCGCAAGTAGTGAGAACGCCTCTGCTCTGCCTCATCCTCCTACCATTAAGCGGTGTACCCTCATCCAGTGCTTAAGCTCCTGGTTGCGAGCCTCGTTCCTACAACAGGGGATGCTATTTCCACCACCCCCAGAGCAGCAAGCTCACTGAAAGGCTCAGGGCTGACGGTCTGAAGAGATGATTCCAGTGAGAGCAGGGACAGAGTCTCACACTCCATCCCATGCTGTATTTGACGAATCAGGTCTAAATGGGCTTTAGCACACTTATTAATAAAAACTAGAAATGTGAAGTACTAGCCTACCCTAACTGGCTCCTCGACAATCAGATGTGATGACAAGTGGGACAAATCTATACCAATGGATTTCGTCATTTTAAAATACTAGAAATTGCCAGGAAAATGACACCCGGTAAGGTAAAGTGAGTAACCTCCATTAGCAACTTCACATCATGGAGCGATCTCACATCCAGTGTGGTATTTGGTCCACAAGCAACATTTAAGATTTCAGGTCCCACTCTAAGTGACTTTAAACGAATCATGTCATCGATTCTTCTGAGCCTCTGTTTCTCATCTGTAAAATGAGAATGTGCTTGATCTCACCTGTCTGCCCCTCCAAATGCACTCCACCCTCTCTGTCCTGTCCTGTGATCCCGAGTGTAGACCGCTTCATAAGCTTCCTAGCTTTCTGGCTTCCAGATGGGTATACCCAGCAGGAGGCACTGGCACGAGGGAGAGAGAAGACAGAGTATTTCTTCCCGTGCCCCAACCCATGTTGGGACATTGGGGTGTACCCAATGACCAGAATTCTTAGCAGCTCTCAGGAGCCCTCTCCACACAACTATTCATTCATTCAACCTCTTCCAGACTAAAAGCGGGCGGTTACCAGCCTGGGATACTAAACCTTCCCCCCTAATTTCCCTGCCCTATACCTTCATAAATGCAGTCACCTTTTTATGGACCCTTTCTCAAATCACCCTAACTTGAATGTGCCACCTACTGCCTGCGGGGGACCCTCCATTATACAGGAGATACCACCACGTCATAAGATTACAGATTTGGGATTATGGCACTACTAGGTGCCATAATTAGTTGTGACAATCACATAATGCAGGAGCTGTTCCCAATTTACAGACGAGAAAGCTAGCCTTAGGGAGGTTAAGAAATTTACCCAAGCACACGAAAGAGTGCACAAGCTACAACCGGAGACTTAGCCTCCAGGTGCGGAATCCGCTACCTTTTCCAACTCTATTATTCCTGCCTCGGCCAGTATTTCTTCTCCTGTGCCATATGTCATCTTCGCCGACACCCCCACAGGAGACACCTCTCTCCTGATTAACATGTTACTAATGTTTCTACTGGCGGACGCAGTTTTAACAGTGTGGTCCAGAGTAGGAGTTTTGGGGTTGGCTCACGAACGAAGCGGGACTGGCCACTTTCAGAAGTGTTATCTCGAGTGAGAGACTTTCCTCCACGAGCCTGTTTCCTCCCCCCTAGAACGTGGGCAGCACTACTTCCTCCCCGGGGTGTGGCGAGGAGTCCACGGAGTACCGCTTCCCAGCACCCGGCACGCAGGAAGCGCTCGAATGCTAGGAGGACGGCGGAGAAGAGCGGCTCTGCGGCCTCGGCGGCTTCATTCCCCGCGGGAACCAAGGTGGCGGGCGGGGACGCGGCGCCCGAGGGAAGGAGCGCGCGGCCCGCCCCCGGGCCCACCCCCAGGCCCACCTGCTCCTCCAGCCGCTCGATCTCCAGCTGGTTCTTCTCCTCCTCTTCGTCGTACTCCCACTCGTACTCGCCGGGGGAGCTCTCCGCGGAAGAAGCCATGGCGTACTCCTCATCCCCATCGCTCTCGCTCACGCCTTCCTCCTGCTGATCCCACTCTGGCCCTATGGTCTTGAACGCCGCGGTGGCCACGGCCCGCGACAACGCCTTCCTCCTCGTCTTAGCTGCCTTCACCTCTTCCTCCTCCTCCTCGCCTTCAGCCCTGGGCTCAGCCTTGGGCTCGGCCTCGGATTCTGAAGCGGTGGTTGCGGCCGCCGTCGCCATCTTGCGCTTCCAGTGACTCCCGGGTCTTCCCTCGGTCACCAAAGACCGGCAGAAGTTGAGGGTAGCTGCGGCGTTCGCCTGATCAAAATCTACACTCTCTTGCCAAAAAAAAGGGAAACTGAGCACCTGGTATGACGGGAAATTTTCAAAACGCATGTAGTTCACATTATTTGTATATACCTATAAAGTTTCTAGTAGAGAAAAGACAAATTAATATGGCATGTTTTCCGCCACAACTTTGGACAGAAGTGGGGTCTTTAGACCGGAAGTGGAAGCCATAGAGGAAGTCGTACGGTGAACGTGATGCCTGTAGTGGAGGCTTTGGCGCCATCTTGAGAGGGTCAAACTGATTCTAGGAGGAAATGCTTGCAAGCTTCGCTAGTAGTCAGAACGGGCGTGTGGTTCAGTCACCCAGCAACCAAGCCTCCAACACAGATAAAGTCCCATGGCTTCCAGGAAAGATCTATTATACCATTCATGAGAAAAATCTATTTCCCGGAGATTCGTCCCTTTCACGTCCCTTTCACGCGGTAGTAGGCGTTAAACACACGTGTGGAATTTCCGGTTTTATACGCTCAATATTCTGCAAACCAATATTTAAAAATAACATTAAGAACATTTCTTTAGAAACTCTTCATTACTATGTATCTTCATCTAAATCTTGGCAATTTGCTGTTGTCTTTAGAAAAATAGATGTACTCATAGCTGTGGTAGATACCTTTTTTCTTAATCAGGGTGTAATGCGTTTGAGTCTTGAGCCTCCCATTTTTAAGGTAGGAAAGGATTGGGGTGTTTCCTTATGTACTGCCTTTCTCCCTCGTTATCAAGCTTGATGGGGTTGGAATTATGTGTGCTGTTTTCACCTCGATCCCCTTGATTTGCTCCATGGATGAAAGTACTATCCGTCAATCAATGCAAAAGAGAAAACATAAGTTTAACGAGCTGATGTCATTCGATAAGGGTCACAAAGCCAGGGACAGACCAGGAATCTAACCCAGGATTCTTCAAGTTCGCGTCCCACGGAAACCTAACTGAGCGACCTTAGACAAGTTTCTAAACTGCTCTGAAATTCAGTTTCCTTCGCTGTGAAAGAGGGTTAGAAAAGGTGGCTTGTGTGCTCTGCTCTGACTTCCACAGCGGGTTTAGCGAACGCGAACTCAGATCCCGCTCTCCGGCAGGCGGGTAATTCCCATCTGGATACAGTGCACCTAGAACGTGCCCTCGGGCGACTTCAGACCGTCCCGCCCCGAGGGGCGTGGCTAAGGCGGGGCCTAAGCGCGGACACGTGCAGGAAGAGGGAGGGCGCAGGCGCAAAGTCGCGGTGACATCAGAGGACGCGCGCTCCCAGCTGGGCGCCGACTCGCAGGCTCGCCCCCTAGTCTCTGCGTCGCGCTAGGTCCGCGCAGGCGCAAGCCGGCAAGATGGCGGCGGCTGGAGCGGGCCGTCTGAGGCGAGCGGCTTCGGCCCTACTGCTCCGGAGCCCGCGCCTGCCTCCCCGGGAGCTGTCAGCTCCCGCCCGGCTCTATCACAAGAAGGTAGGGACGAAAGGGTTGTGTGCTGATCGCCGAGGTGGCCTGGGCCTGGAGGGGCGGCCACGGGGTCCTGCACTGCGGGGTAGGGGCTGCCTTCGCCTACGTATCTGCGGAGACTCACTTTCCCTTACTGCGCAGTGACCCACTGCGACTAAAGTACGGTTTGGTGCGCCCCAACTAGCCAGCTGCCCAGGAGGGCGAGTCCTGTCGTACTTGCCAGTTCGGAGTGCAGGGACACACACGTCACTGCCAACCCCCGCTGCACCTGCTTCCCCAGATGTAAAATGGAGTTAGGAAGAGACCTCGACCTGGTACCTGGCACACAGACCCGACGTGCAGAGACCCTCCAGGAGCACGTTGCCTCGGAGCGGAGTCGGGCGCCTAACCAACAAGCATGAAGTTTTTGTTTTTGTTTTCTTTGGCGGGTGAGGGGAGCAACACTTACGTAATTGGGATCCCCTAACCTCCCGAGGGCGTAGATCCTACACGTGAGAATCACTAAGGAAACTAAAGGCCGTAAATTAACATGGTGCAAAAAGTTTATGTTGAGTCCTTGAGCGTCCTTAAACTTGGAAGTCATAATCCGTAGTGGAATGGGGGAGTCGGGATGGAAGTGCCGACTGATAAACCTCAAGGTTATTAAAGTCTTCTGTGTGCCAGTTTGGGTGGATTCTCCCCCCCTGTTCTGGCTTCAGCTCTTTTGCACAGGGTTTCGCTCCTCCCCCGTGCGAGGGTGTGTTTTGTTGACAGTAGCGGCGAAGTGGCATGGGCTGGTAGCCTTTCAGCCACCAGAGGGCGTTGCTGTCCCACACCCTGAAATACAGTAATAGCGTTTACCCTCCCCCCTCCAAAAAACGTACATATTTGCGGGGTACAGGGAGATCTTTCAGTATGAGTTCAGTGTGTAAGGATCACATCGTGGTAATTAGCACATTTATCATTGCATCGTGTTGGGAACATTCAAAATCCTCGTTTCTACTTTGAGTAAATTATTCATTACAGTTACCCTACTGTGTTATAGAACACTCCAGCTTGGGGCACTGTTTTTATCTTCATAGCCAAAAAGCATTCCGTAGCATGCTCTGTAATAGTCATCTCTGGGTTTCTGTAAAAGTTTTCTAATCCTTGGGCTACAGTTATTGCTATGATTTTAAAATGGTAACCCTGGGCCCAGCAGCTTACAAAACATGCTGGGCATGTGTGTCTGCATGCCCAAAACCCTGAAAGGAGAAATGGGAGAAGAGCGACCATCCCCCATCCCCCAAGGGAATACTTACTTTCTCTCTCTCTCTCTGGTGAGTGCACATGCAATATATAGCAAATTAACAGAAAAAAAATGGTGTTTGAATCCAAATCTGGTGATATAGATGACTAAAACCCAAGTAATCATTTGCAGTTAAAACCTCTATGGAACTGAGACAAGATTTCACTGATTTTTTTGTTGTTGTTGTTCATAGTATTTTTGTTTTATTTTGCTTTTGTCAGTATCTCTGATCCCCAAAGGTAGTGGGAGAAGAGATACCTAAAAAAAAGTTTGGGTCACAAATGGTTCTCATTGATGTGAGTGTGTGGTCCTTCCTACTCAAGTGGGTTTTTTCATTTTTGTTTTTGTTTTTTTGGCTAGAGGGTGTGTGTACTTGCAGGGGGTGTGCAGAGAGTAAGAGAAAGAGAAAGCATCCCCCATGGGGTGTGGCCTTGTCATAATCCCTTTTTCTCCACTTCTCCATCCTCTTTGGGGTATACATGCACCTGGTTCGTTTTTCAAGCCACAGGGATCAGGACTCAAACCATAGTCCTGTTTTCTATACACAGCACATAACCACTCACTACGGGGCCAACCCTGACATTTAGTGACTGCCTACCAGGCTCAGATGTCTGGCTCTGACATGCTTACCATCCAGTCAGGGAGACCAGTATTAATAGAATGATTGTGACTTCTCTTAACCTTTTCATTTCAGGTTGTTGATCATTATGAAAATCCTAGGAACGTCGGGTCTCTTGACAAGACGTCTAAGAATGTTGGAACTGGATTGGTGGGGGCTCCCGCATGTGGCGATGTCATGAAACTACAGGTACAGCTGACTTGCATCTTTAACGGTGCTAACAGTAATCCCTTTTCCTGCACAGTGCTTCACAGTGTACGTAGCCCTTGTCCAGGCAGGGTTTCATTGGATCTCTGTCTTTATTCCTGTGCAGTGAGAGAAGGCGATGCTCTAAGTGATTAGAGCAGGGCCTCAGTCCTAGGTCTTCTTCTGGTACACGAGGCTGACTATTCTGAATTGGGAAACTGACCTTTTCTACTCACTGAGCCTGAATCGCAACTTCAGCTAAGTAACATGTTTCTGATCAGAAAAACCACTAAGCTAGCAAGATCCAGTGAGACAAGAAGCCCAATAAATCAGACCTCTCCAAATGGAAGCAACATGAAAGCAGCAGCTGGCACTTCGTATAAACTTGAGCTTTCTCTGTAATCTACATCTTTGTGGTGGGCAGGCAGCTTGCCAGAGGTCTTAATACCTAACCTGGAAACCAACAAGGCAGGAGCGAACCACTGAGTGCAGTCCGCGGCCCACTTTTTATTTCTTTTTTTTTTTTTTCTTCACTGCCACCATCATTTCTTCTTTTTCTTTTTTTGGAGAGATTTTTGCTATAGGGCATGTGTGCTTGCCAGAAAGACAGAGAGAAACCAAGAGACAGAAGGCAAGAAATCACCCCCCGGGGAAATGGCCACACTGCAGTCCCCTCTCCTCCATTCTCCTTTTGGGATCTTGGGCATGCACACACACGTGCCCGGCGTGAGTTTAAGCCACTGGGTCCGGGACTCAAACCTCGGTCAACTACGTGGGAGTCCAGCGACACAGCTATTATGCCAGCTGCTGGTCTCATAGGGCCCAAGTATTAACCAGAGACCTTTATTACAGACTCTCTCGGTGTTTAAAGGGGCAGACTGCCCCAGCAGCCGAGAGCAGACTTCCTCAAATAGAACTGCATAGCCAAAGCAGAGGCTCAAGTTTAAAACCAAACCAAACTGGGCTGGAGGGCCTGTTTGCCATCTGAGCTTTACCAGCTAGGCCGGTGTGGTTGTCCCTGTTTTGCTGTTCATCACCGAGCTCTCTGAAGTCAAGTGAAGTCAGCCGTTACCGTCCTGACTTAGGAGTGGACAGAAAGGCCCCAGTGGAACTCCATGAAGGCCAGCTCCCCAGGTTATAGGGGGCCACAGGAGTCACTGCTCATCTCTTTTCTAGATTCAAGTGGACGAAAAGGGGAAGATCGTGGACGCCAGATTTAAAACCTTTGGCTGCGGTTCTGCGATCGCCTCCAGCTCCTTGGCCACCGAATGGGTGAAAGGGAAGACGGTAAGGCTGCTGTAGAGCGACACGATTCAATCACAGTCCCCGTAAACCTGGCTCTCTAACGGTCTAGTGGTGGGGGAAGGGAACAGACAAGGCAGAACAGTGATCCAGGTAGCTGGTCATGAGCCTGCTGAGGGTGGAGATAAGAAAGGACCAGAACATGGGCCAGCAGGTGGAGTAGTTAAGGCACTGCACTCCCACAGTCCCAGACACAGCGGCTTGAAAATCACACTAGCCAGGGACCAGCAGTTAGTGCAATGGCTATGTCACTGGACTCCCATGTAGTCGACCGCGGTTCACATCCCAGACCCGGTAGCTTAAAACTCACGCCGGGCAGGGACCAGCAGTTAACATAATGGCTATGTCGCTGGACTCCCATGTAGTCGACCGCGGTTCGTGTCCCAGACCCGGTGGCTTAAACTCACACGGGGCGCATGTGCGTGCATGCCCAAGATCCCAAGAGGAGAATGGAGGAGAAGGGATTGCTGCATGACCATCCCCTCTGGGGGGTGATTTCTCGCTTTCTGTCTCTCTGTCTCTCTGTCTGTCTGGCGAACGCACATGCCCTATGG